CTGACAGACGGACTAACACACTGTTGGTTTTAGGGTTTTCATGGGATTTGTTGACATTAAGAAAAAGATTATTTCATTATCAATTAATTTTCTGTGGATGGAACAGTCATTGCAGCTTCAAGGTCAACTTCACTTTTGTGGCTTCATCATTAAAGGTTCCATATTTTACACTTGACCTGTGTTTTATTTGAAGTTTTGATCCATAAGAAGACACATTTGTGGTTTTAAAGTGATAGTTCAGGTTATCTGACATGAGGTTGTGTCAGGTATGTGTCAGTGCATTACCCGCAGTAGACTGGGATCAGCGCGTTGCCAGTTTAGAGAAGCACTGACCCCGTCCACAGCAGCACATCACTCAGGTCGCCTCTCTAAACTGGCAGCCCATTCGAATAACCTGAACTACTATCTCTTTAAGCACCAAAAACCATCTCAATGTAGTTTTACATCTCCTCTCTCAGGCTTCTCTCTGAAGCTCTAGTAACAACAGGTCGGTGAGTCAATCACTTTATACAATATGGGACCTTTAAACTACAGACAGTTTAAGCTTCATTTGAATCTAATTGTGGACTATCTAAACAAAACACGTTTAAACAAAACAACAACAAACAAACAAATTCCCTTCTGTCTGTCAGGACAATCCTTAAAAACACTGGCATCCATCTGCTCAAAGCTCCGCTGGTGTGTTTGGCATGAAAACCTCATTATAATGTATAAACACTAAATAATAAGTTGATACTCACTGAGCATCCACTGCATATGATAACCTATCTTCTAGATTTGCTCACAATATTAGAAAAGCCAGTTATTTTTAAATGGATGCTTACTTGTTGAAAAACATGTTTCTTTTGCAGGAACAATCCATAAAGTATTTGAGGAGAAACAGCGGGTCACTCTGTCTTGTCCTCGACCTGTGGAGGGTACAGCGACGTGGAGCAGAGAGATTAATGGAAACAAAGTTGACTTACTTACAGCTGATGGTGATAGGGAGATCAGACACAATGACCCAGGCAAAAGATACAGTTCAAAGGCAGATAAATTTAAGTCACTGGTCATTCTCAGAGCTAATGTCTCAGACTCTGGAACATACTTCTGCAACAATGAATCAGCTGCAGAACTGACGGTGATCCCATCAGGTAACATCAGACTTTATCAAAGTTATTCTGTTTTCGTTTTAAAATCACTTGTCTGTGCTTAAAATGTCATTTCCTCAAATATGATAAGAGAAACACAATGCTCCATTTAATGTTGCTTCAACGATCACACTGCAATAGATTAACACGACCTATTACTTTAATATTAGACCTGCAAGAACAGAGGCATGATTAATGTATCACACGTACTTCCTGTCACTGTGGCCGAGGAGCTTTTGATGTGAGAAGATGATTAGAGAATCGGCTTTACTTTTTGAAGCACTTTTTGTCCATGTAGAGTCACATGTTTAAGGATCCAGTGCAATGAGGTCCTTTTCTCTAGAACCTGATGTAGGGACTGAAATGAGCTGCTTCATACTTTATTTTTCAAAAATGATTTTAATTTACATTTTCTTAGTTTGGTGTCCTGATGACTAGACAACAGCATACTACTCGACACATTAAATACTGTATCATCACAGTCAGTTACCAGTTTATTAGGAACACCTAGCTAAAACTAATGCAGTCTAATTCAGCAGTCAATAAATACAATATAAGGTTATAATGTTCAGTTTGTGTGGAAACTGTTTCAGAGAAGTGTTAATTCAACTCTGTGATCATTTTGGAGGCTGCAGTTTGTGGTGCTGTTGAAATGCATTGCATTAGACTGATAGCTGTTCTTATTATTTTGTCCACCCCATTTATATCAGTGACAGTAGACTAAACAACACAAAGACCCCTCTGTGCACCTTGGCCTTCTTTTTAAAGTCTTCAGTCAAGACAGGTGTCAGTAATGAACTGACTTAATCATAAATACATGGTAGAAGTTTATGACTGTACATTGTACAACATGAATCTCGGTATTTTCTCACTCAGTATTTGATCTGTAAAGGAACAACTATACGCAATGCTACAGAGAGGACCAGCATCGCTCTGGAATGTCCTCCTGGTGTTGGAGGATCAGACGGTCCAACATGGAGCAGAGAAGTTGCTGGAAAACAAAAACAAATCAGGTCTCCTGTCTCCACTGTGGACAAGACGTTGACTATAACAGAAGTGCAGGTTCATGACTCTGGACTGTACTACTGTGATGGAAAACCAGCTGTGTATCTGAGAGTGATCGAAGGTGAGTGATCTGGCAGATCTTTTTTGCTCACCTGGTGAGAGTTAGATGTTCAGACTGATACCTTTCCCATATCTATCCATTAAATAAAATGCTGCAGTCAGCAGCAGGTTAGCTTAGTTTAGCATAAAGACTGGAAACGGGTAGAAACAGCTAGCCTGGCTGGCTCTGTCCAACAGTTAACAAAATCAACCGACCAGCACCTCTGACTGTACTCAGATTGTGAAGCTAATTTTAGAGGTGGTTCTTTTACATAGAAAGGATATGGTTCCTGGAATGCTTTGATAGAAACTGGGATTCTGTGGCATGTAAACACAGATACTACAACCAGGATACTAGAACATGTGTAAATGCACTGTGAGTTGAAAATGAACTTGAATTAGAAGCAAAGCATCTGGTGAGTTCAGAGTTCAGTCATCTTACAGCTAATTGGCTGTTTGAGGTCAATAAACACAAACCATCTCGAGGTCAAATTTCCACAAATGAAACAAGGTGAAAATTCACTTTCATAAAAAGTCGTTGGTACTAGGTAAAGTTACTACAGTTAATCCGGAGCTCCACTGACACTGGACACACACTGGACTGTACATTTTTTAACCCCATCATTTTTAGTCAGCAGCTTTGGACACAGCCAGGTTAGCTGTTTCCCTCTGTTTCCAGTCTTTACGCTATGCTATGCTAACCAGCTGCAGTCTGTAGCTTTATATTTGAAATACAGAAATGTGAGCGGTATCAGTCCGAACATCTAACTCACTGCTTGAAAGAGAATACTGTCCCAAACTGTCAAACTAATAAACTACCAACAAGTTTGATGATGAGAGGTGAATGTATTTTTCAGTGTCACAAGTCAAGTGAAAATCTTCCTTTACATGCAAGTGGTATGAGGTGTGATAACACCCCTAACCACAGAAAAGTTGCTCCTATTTTTAAAAGTGCTAAATGATTTTGTGACATCCTGCATTAACTTGGTGAAATATGGCTTTTAACTTTATATTAAAGGTATCCACTATGCATTTATTACAAGTCAAAACTTAAATTCAAGATATATTTAATTATTAATTTAACATGTTTCTAATTGCATTCTCATTTGTAAAAAATGAACCACTGACTCTGTGAATACCTGACGTCTGTTTTTTAAATGAGTTTAAAGGCCTGTATTCCCTCTACCATAACATTAACACCACCACCAACAACAACAACAGCAGCAGCAACAACAACAACAAAAACAACAGCAACAACAAGAACAACAACAGTGACAAGCGAAGGCATGAATACAACAAAGAACCAAAGACAAATTAATACATGTATTTAAAACATTTTATTTGTTCAGAGAGCGTGGTGTCTGTATCTTCCCCTGCTCTCCTGTCATGTGTAAAACATGAAATACATTAGTTGTTATTCTTACTTTTGGTTTCCGTCTGCTCCTGAAGCCCAGAAAACAGCTGCTTTGGTGCTTCAAATAGTCGTCCCCGTGTTCCTCCTCATCATCATCATCATCGTCTGCTACCTTACTTGGAGATGCAGGTGTAAAACAAGAGGTGAATAAAACCTGATCAACAGAACCTGTCATCAAACTTAAAATGACTTACCATACTACTCCATTACTATACTTTACCTTTTCTTTTTTAAATATCTCTTTTATTTGTTGTCTGTTTGCTTTGTTTCTAAGTTAATACAAAGTTGAGACCATCAGCAAAATTATGAAAAAATTTAAAAAAAACAGACATTTAGTAACTGGAATGAGGAATTTAATTTCAAGTCTTTTGTCTTTTTCATTTTTTTCACTTAATGGAGTGTTTTCACATCCAGATGGCGTCAAAAGCATCTTGTGTGTCATCAGAATTTAAGGCATATAATCAGTGATTATTCAGTGTATTGCTGATATTGTGATGTTTTTATAGAAAATGAAGAAGGGTGCCCAGTCTATGAAGAGATACCGGAGGGATCAGTGTATCAACCTTCAAATGGTGAGAAATGAGACTTAATTTTTCTACTTCGACTGAGACTGATCTAGGATTGAATTCTACGCTGTTATCAGTGCTTGTATTCATGTGCAGCCCGTGTTGTGACATGTAGATCATTCAACTGTAGCTGTAACTGTTTGTAGTCGTCAGTAAAGAAAGGTACGTCACTTGATTGTCATTAGATATACTTAGATAGACATCCTGCTAATTGTTACATTCAAACATGATCCATTCCTAGCCATTTATATGACCTAAACCAAAATGAGAATACGTCATCATCATTTATATTTATACATATGAATGTTATTTTTCATTATCTCATATCTTCATACACAAAAACATTTATATTTTTCTGTTTCTTCTTTAGGACAGACAAACAAACCAAACTGGCCACCTTTTGGTGTTTTGTTTTGTTTTTGTTTTTTAGCACCATTGCCTAGCCGTTTTAGCTATGCTATTATCTTGGGTAAAACCACTGCCAAATAACAGGAAAATGTTACTCTTAAGTATTTTGCTACTGTGACTTAGTAGATTATAATTACAGTTTATTTTCTTGTAATAAAGATACCAATGTTGTAATTAATATCTGTAGCCATATCTAATTAATGTGGCTAGGCTTTAATCAGAGCTCATCCTTTTCTTTTTCACCCTAAATCTGGATCAATGCAATGTTGACTTCCATAGATTTCCAGAACAAGTCAAAAAAAAATACATGAATGCTAAAGTTTCCCCACCAAAATAGTTTTGTTGTGATTTATAGATATTTATTTGTGAATGTTTTAACAGGTTTATCAACCCAAAATGATCCCACATACTCCACCATCAATGATCTCCCACCGACAGCAAACAAGAACGGTAAAGCCTGTGTTTATTGACTGTTTGATAGTCAATGCATGAACGTGCACTTCAGTAACCAGGTCAGTCAGGTAAACAAGAAAAGTGGTTTCTGTAATTGGTTAAGGGGATTAGAGAAACCTGATTTCCTGAGGTTGATATATAACGATGTCTTGGCTATGAATACATGAAACTCCAGATTTTTAATTGTCCAAAAGTTTGGCTAAAGCGAAGGCGTCTAAGTCTTTATACTCTGTGCGTCTGAACTGCACAGTAGATGTTCAACTAGACAGACAGACATCGGACTGGTGGGTGGGGGGTGGGGGTGGGGTGGTGTCCATTTCTGTAACTTTCCAAAACAGATATGACATAAACACCCACCTCACTTCTCAGTGATTAGTCATTTTCTGTGGCTTTGTGGTTTTCTCTTTCTGAGCTCAATGCCTTTCAGACAAACACTATTAATGGTCACTTCACATTGAGGCTTTGGCCGCTCTGACTTCTCAAGCCACTTGGCATGAGCTCTCTAGGCCTGGTCAGTAATCCGTCCATGATTGCAATTTTTTTCATTTGTTACTCATCTATTTGTGTCACTTTTCTTGTTAACCAACAAATAAAACAGTATGAATGGTTTGCAGGAGACACTGTCTGATTCTCAAGGAAGCACTGCAGTCTGTCGCTTAAATGGTTAAAATAAGAGCCATGCTTCCAAAACAAGGTCATGGTTTAGGTGGTGGATGTGATGACTGATGTTTTGCTTTTATACAAACTTATATACCTGGCAACTACAGTGCATGTAAATGCAATGACTTAAGCAGATATTTTGGTGATATACTTCTGATCACATACAGTAAACAGTATATTCATTATTTTAATTCCTTTTTACAGAGACGTCAATACCTGCTGAGTCCCCATAATGCTTGATCAGTGCCACTTCGCCCAATGGGAATAATACAGGTCAGTTTAATCATTAGCTCCTTATTTTGGCTTCATAAGTGTTACTTATGAGCTGTAATGTCATAGACACTGGAACAGTCTTTTGTACATGTAATGTCTCCCTATGCAGAAATTTAATATATGACATATATGTCCTATATCAAGAGTGACATTGCCACAGGTTTCATATATAATTTTTACATATGTGCTTTTATTTTTTATGTATATACTGTATATGTCAATATGGAAATTCAATATATACACATGTACAATAGTTGCATATGGATCCTGTTCATATATACTTTAATTTTAAAATGAGAGATAACAGAAACAAAAAATCTCTATCACACAGACACTGAATGAGTAACAGATGTTCGCCTAATATTTTTAATCCAGATTAAAATTCGAAATGTTTTTCTTGATCCACAGGTTCGTCACAGCTGACCAGCAACTACTATAGTTTACTGGAGAAACCCAAAGTGGTCGAAAATCAATATGATTAGTGTTTTTATATTTACTTGTAGTTAAATATTATAAAGGGGCCCTTACAAAAAATATAAAATAAAATAAAACAAAATCACTCAACTTCTTACATATGAATTTTAAGATAAATATCATTTGCATTGGTTCACATGTTGAATCAGAATACAATATGTGAAATGTGTTTATTCATATGGAAAAAAAACACATTCACATTTCATGATTTTCCTTGAACCACAGTATGAAGGTCAATGATGGATTAATTTGGCACGTTGCCATACGTCCATGTAATGATACTATCAATGGTTTTTAAATGTTGATCAGTTGATAGAAATATGTTCATGTATGTACAAAATGCTTTTTGATCACGTTTTTGTATAATTCTAAATAAGCTTCTTGATATATTTCTTTTACAAATAAATTGTCTTATGTGCACATTTATTATTCCTTTTTACAATTCCTTTTATTAATGAACCGACTGTGTGACTAACATTTTTTTGATGGTTCAAATCTCTAAATATAGCCTATGTTTTGTGGGGGCTACGACCAAATGAGGAAGAAATTCATTGTTCTAGTTCCAAGTTCTAGTTACTCAGTTCCCAGTCACCTCACACACTCCTCTGTGGGTGCTTTTGCAGAATTAGGTTGTGCAGTTAATGTAAAAATCCCTGTTCATTAAGAAATCCTGAGACTCCAGAAAGCAGAGGGCGTCCTAACCTTGCCAAATCAGATGAGTCAGAAATGTATTTATTATTAGTTTAATACACAGACACTGGAGGTCCAGGGTTAGCCTACCTTAGCATAAGGACTGGAAGCAGAGGGAAACCATTCCAGGACTCTAAAGCTGTCTCATCTACATCTTGTATTGTTTATTGTAGCACCACTAATGAAACCACTAATGTATTACCACTATTACCAGAGACTTTGGTGTCACTACGCAAAACAACAAAGGTGGGTAATTAGAAATTTGTAAAACTCTTCTTTAAACATAATAAGGGGCTACTTTTTTGTTGTTAGTTCATGTACAATATATGATAACCCAGTCTGTGCTTCATGAGTAAAAATGTTTGGTCATGGTAGCGATTTTCACATTAATGATTATGATGGAGTCACAGAAAAAGGAAAATATCCCATAATAATATAATAAAAATTTTGTGTAACGCCTTACCTCATAGACATTAAAAAACAGTGGTGCAATCATGATAGAGAGAATAGAGATAAAAGATAGAATAAAAATCTTCAAATTAAGAAATTGAGAAGTTCTCTCACTTCCTCTCCACTCAACCCCGCCCTTCACACCAATGTCTCAAGCGCTGCCTAAATCCTTCCCTGTTACTATTTCTGTGCATTATTAACAGAAACAGAGTTAATTTCTTTTTCTTTTTGTTTGTGTGTAAGTCAATGACCTCACAGGCTGGATTGCATCACCCCTTTTATTTGTGCTCTGCTAGCAGTGGGAAAAGTTAATAAAGTTAAATAGGCCCTAAAATAACTGTGCAATCACTGTTTTTCTCTCTAGCTGCTTCATACTCAAACATATTCACTTCCTGGGGCACTTCTACAATATTTAGCCTGTGGTTAAGATGCTGACTGACTGAGTTTTGACCTCAGTGATTCACCTATGGGACTGTGGGAGGGGCGAAGGATGTCACAGGAAAAGTAATAAAGCATTTCCTTAATTTCATATTTTTTAATAGGCATTCAAAATAGTAATTGTGAAAAGAATTAATGGATAAACTATGAATCCACTAATAAATACTTAAGATTTCATCAGTCTCTTCAGAGAGTGCCCCTTAACAACAACAGCGCCCTCCAGTGGGCAAAGTAATATTGAGGGATTTAAAGCAGGTTGAGGTGGATGGACGTAAACAAAACTTTGGACTTTAACATGGCAAACTATTTTGTTGGTCAGTTTGTGGTCACGGTTAAAAGAAACAACACTGACAGTCAGCCATTTAAAGCGTCACCTTAAATATTGACTTCAATACAACAAACCTGTACAATTGTTATTGTTACAAGCAGCACAGACCGAACAAAACATCGCACACTTAACTTTACAAGCCGCTAACACAATAATTGTCCGTGTGTCTGATTTCACAAGAACGTTGCGCAACGCTTTTGGTTTACTGGCAGGGTTTGGCACAGTTTAAAGGTTTGTTCTCATCACAGACACAACATTAAATCAATGATAAAATGTTGTTCTCCAGCTCTGACATAATGTTTACCAATACTTTAATATCACATACATATTAGAATACTGTCTTTGATCACAAAAGGTCACTGAGCTGAGATGCATTGAGAAAGAGGCTTTTCTTTTTAGAAACATGTCCACACAGTTTCCTGTTTACAACATAGAAAATGTGGTTAGACATTATTCAGAGTACTGAATCATTTCAGTCTGTGTCAGGATGATGGTGAAGATCTACAGCTGTCTGTTCGCCTTCGTTCTGGGCTATAATGTCTCCGCAGGTAAGAATTTTTAACCTTAATCTGTTGCTGTGTGTATTCATTTATATCTCCTGTCCTAATACTTTTATAATTTAATATGTTTTTAAGGTCATATTAAATGTATGTTCTATACTTTTGACAGTTTAATCTTCCAACTCAGTAAGTAGATGACATGTGCTTGAAACATTTGGAAAACTGTCTTTACTGTTACATATACAGCATGTATAAATGTCTGCTCAGGACCAACATTGTTAAATCACACCAGTTTAATCCCATACATATCCCATACATACACAGTATATATACAGTATTTACTTCTTTATATTTAAAGGTCACATTCTCTGTACTTATTGGCTGACTGTTTTCTGAGTGATCTAATGAAAATATACCAGATTTCACGTAAATGCTCAGAGAAACAAAATCTTGCGAGGTTGGATAATGGGTCGAGGTGATCCTGACGGCTGGTTTAAAGGCTCAGTGCATTTCTCTGTGGACTGAGCGCTTTGATACTTTGGCAATATTAATATAGAACAGAGACCTGCTTTATAATCAAACAACACATGGAAATCTACCTTCATACAATATGGGATCTTTTAATATTATGCTTGTTCAGTTCCTTCTTACTGAGAATCTTGTGTCATTGGGGATGGGAAGGAGGGTTTTGTAAGTTTGTTCTGTTTATCTAGAATTAACAAAAAGCCATAGGCTTGAAATAAAAGGAAAAACTATCTTAAATGGATCGTTATCTGAGTTCTGAAAAATTGCCTCTTTTGCAGAAATAATCCATCAAGAAGTTGCGGAGAAGAACCCGGCAAATCTACCTTGTCCGCACCCTGTGGATGGTGATGTGATGTGGAGCAGACAGTTAACTAATGGAAGTAAAGTTAACTTAATTAAATTTACTGGTGAAACGGAAGAGAGGCACAATGACCCGTGCAAACGATACAGTTCATTGGCTGATAAATTTAAGTCACTGGTCATTAAGAGCCCTGGTGTCTCAGACAGTGGAACATACCTCTGTAACAATGAAACTGTGAAACTGACGGTGATCCCATCAGGTAACATCAGACTGTGTTTTCTCTTCTTGTTTCAAAATCATGTCTCTGTGATAAACAGAAACAGAAACAGAAATGTAATATATGACATATATGACATATATGTCTCTATATCAAGAGTGATGTTTCCATATATACCATATATACATCCTCCGGATATATGATGTAAGATATAAGTTTATGACACATATAACATACTCATTGTAAAATGTATATATGTACATATTTTTAAATGGTATAACACATTGCGAGCAAATTTGTTAATGATATATTCAATATATATATATATATATATATATATATATATATGCTAGGTTATTAAAACAATATGCATATACAAATTGTATATACTATGTTTTTCTTATTAATTTCAATGTCTACAATATAAGCATAGATAACCACACATCATTGTATGGGCTAGACATATACTGTATGTCAATATATGAAATTATTACAATTTCTAAAAGGTTTTATACATAATTTTTACATGTGTTTTTATTTTATATGTACATATTTTTCATATATGGAAATTCAATATATGTACATTACATTTGCAAATGGGACAAAGAATATAAACGAGTCATTTCATTGATAGTAATGTTAAATTACCTTTTACCTACTTATCCTTCATGTGACATCACCAATTATATTTACTTCTATAAACAATAAAACAGTTTGGTTTTTACTCACTCTGGATATTTATTGTGTACAGGAACACGTGTAAAGAATGCTACAATAGGAACCAGCATCACTCTGAAATGCCCTGATGACACTGGGTCACATGGTCCAACATTGGTCAGACAAATCAGCGGAATCGACATCACTGTTTACAGCCAAAATAAGACAGAAGGGCTCCAATACTCCACTGAGGACAAGACGCTGACTCTAACAAACGTGCAGCCGAATCACTCTGGACTGTACTACTGCGAGGGAAAACTAGTTGTTTACCTGAATGTGACCAAAGATGAGAGATTTGAGAGAGGTGAGAGATACAAAGTGGAGAACAGAACACAATTGTATGACCACAGCTGCTGACATTAATCTAATACAGCCAAAAGTTCTCTGTCCAATATGATTTGAGAAACCACTGAAAACACATGCTCAGACAGCTGTGGTTATTGTACGAGAAATACTAATTGCTTTCACTTAACTTAGTTGGTCATGTAATGTTGTTCATCTCTTCGATATTCAGTTTCCATGGTGTTATCTACACCGCTCGCCCCTGCATCATGTCTGCCCAGACAGAAATGTAATATATGATACACAGCATCAGTCAAACGTTCGGACACACTTTTATATATATATATATATATATATATATATATATATACTTTTGATATATTCTTATGTGGTATAACCTATTACCAAGCATATATATTAACAATATTGATTTAATCTATATATGTAGGGTTATTAAAGCAGCATCCATGTAAAAATTATACATTCTTATGAATGTATTTCTTATTCATTTTAATGTCTATCTTATCATACATATTTGTATGGACTAGACATATATGTCAATATAACGCCAGAGTGTCTGTCTGTTGATCACATTCTCGCGGACACGATATGTCAGTAACACCTTGAGGGAATTTCTTCACATTTGATAAAAACTTTCACCTCGACTCAAGGACAAACTAATTAGATTTTGGTGGTCAAAGGTCAAAGGTCAAGGTCACAGTGGCCTCACAAAACATGATTTTAGCCTTGTGAATGCAATATATCCAGAACTCCTCAAGGGAATCCCTTCAAATTTTGCACAAATTTCTACTCAGACTCAAGGATGAACTGATTAGACCTTGGTGGTCAAAGATCAAAGTTCAAGGTCATGGTGACCTCAGGAAACACTTTTTAGCCACACTTTCTTAATTATGACAAAATTTCACACAATTTTTTTTATGACTCTGGATAAACAAGGATGTAAACTGAAATTAGTCTGAATGGTGGAGGCAAACAACCGCAAGGCCGTATTTCTAGTTACATATGTTTTTATTTCATATGTACATATATTTCAAGTATGGAAATTCAATATACTATGTATATTTATAACCTTACCGTATGGGTGTATGTATTGTTTTAATATGTTACATGTTATTAATCTTTCAGCTGCTCACAAACTGCTTCTTTTGGTTCTTGGAGTGGTCCTGCCCCTCGCCCTCACCGTGTTTATCATCCTCTTCCTCTTTCGGAGATGCAGATTCAGAACACAAGGTGAATAAAAGACCTGGAATCACAACTCACTGAACCAAGCAGCAATGCCTATTAATGTGATGTCAGTGGTTGCAAAATGATTATTGCTCCTGGCAAAATGACCTTCTATGAACACATGAAACTTTCCTACTTGTGACATCAGAAGAGCATTCGTCTCATCACATTCATGCTCTTAATTGAATACAAAAGTTAAAACAAATTTATTTTTGTGTATTAAATTCAAATGAAAAAAGTTTAATTTGTAAAGTAAATTATAATAGGCTAGAATTATATGGCTAATAAACTAGTAGTGTTACTTAAACATAATTCTTTGAGGTCAAGTAATTTGAATGAACTTTGACTGTTAATATATCTCACTGATTTTAAACAGACAGTCAGTTCATTTTAAATGCTTCATCAGCAGAAACACGTTTTCATAATCTTTTAATTATCTTGTTTTCCAGCACAAAAATTGACAAGTATATAAATCATGTTTTATGAGTTAATATTAGCCATAACAAAATGAACTGATTATTTCATTCTCGTTCTTTTGGCAGGACGTGGTGAACAACAAGCTGACACCGACTATGCTGAGATACCAGACGAGTCCGTGTTCAAACCCACACAAGGTGATAAATAAGATCATTCCTTATTTTCAGCGTGCCCTTTTATTATCTGAACAAGTGATCGACAGCTGCCAATAGTTTAAATGAGCCACTTGCCAGTTCTGTAGTTGTGTTTTTATTTAGCTTATTTAGCTTAGCTTTACTAGCTACCGATTAGTGCTATCGTTACCCTAAATATATGCAGGATGTTAATTAATTGTTGTGCAGAAATCATCAATTGAAGGAAACAGACTTATTTATTTATCTATTGTGATTTTTAAAAAAAACACACAAAAAAAAAACAATCATATATAGAAAGCCATGGTCTCGAGCTACAGCCTCTGTCCCACCAGCTTCTGTGACTCAGTGGAATCGCTTATTCAGCGTTTTTTCTTCACTCTTTGTCACAAAATGAAGAAGTTCACTTCCATATTTCCATATATAAAATAAATTCCCATCCACAACAGCACTCACAATTACAAACTGTGACTTTCATAAAGTTGACAATTTACTGCCCTTATCTAGACATATTGAGTTACTCACAGGACATACTGTTGATTAAGGTAAATGTTTCAAGGCTAAAAGTTTAGTAGTTTTGGTTGTTGTTATAGATTTCTTTACTTCTGGACCAGAATCCAGGATCAATTTGAGCTCTATAGGCAGAAATTGGAAACATCCGGGGTAAAACAAGTTAAAAACGTTAAGTGAATAAATTCATGTTGACAAATGGTCTCATTTGTAGGCGGATCGAACCAACATGATCTTACATACGCCGCCATCTATCATACTCAACCAGCGGGAAACAAGACCGGTAAAGACTCAGCTGTTGTCAATCTTTATCTACTTTGATATTTGTCTGGTCGGCTACACTTTATATTTTCATATTTGTGTTATTGTACAGTGGTATCTCGGCCCAACGAGTCCATTTATTCCTTCGTCAACACAAAAGATTAAGGTGACATATATCATTCTTCATGTTTGTTTGTCATGAGCATGACTTTTTTATAGGTTATACAGTTCAATGTGAATATTATTGAATAGTTTAAATGACTGATTGATTATCAGATCTATTAATTATACTTTAAATTTTAATTTCCAATGAAATGTAATAATTAATCAACTAATCATTTTAGTTCTAAACAGTAATGACAGCTAAAACACACATTTTTTGTCACATCATTATCCATCAGTTCTGTTGATTTTATTCCAGTCATTTTGGAATTAAACCCTTCATTATTGATATTAAAGTAATTTTTTAATTGTAACTTTGTTTTACAGAAAATCCACAGGAGCAAATAAAGACCACATCATCACATCTTCCTGCTAACAGGACATTGATCCAATAACTGTGTATTTAGTACAGTATGATTAATTATCAGTTTAACTTTTAACTTTTATAAAAAAAAAAAACAGACATGAGAACTACGTCAGTGTTGTTTGTTTCTGTTTTTTTGGTTGTTTTGCTTTTGTTCTTTGTTTGTACAACAACAATTTACTTTTTGCAAATGATTCAAGATAATTCAAATTTAACTTAAATCTCATTGAAACTCTGTTTCTTCAATCTCGTACAAGTTTGTCATGGCAGTTAACAAAAATGAAAACACCCAAATTACTGGAAAATGGAAAATTTTAAGCGACAATAAAAAATGCACTGTTATTATATTTTAGTAATCAGGATAATCTGGTGATAAGTAAATGTTAAAGAGGAAAAGTGAAACTGTTAAAAGGACATTGATGTTAAAACGACATATTGACTGTAAAATTGCAACTTGATAATGGAAAGTGAAATTGAAACTAAATGGAAAACAAAAAAATGTTACCTGTCAGTGATCAACTTAAAAGTTAAAAATTAATGGACATTTGAGATTTTTGTAAGTTTAATATGATGGTAACATCCTGCATCAATATTCTTCAGTTAGTTACATTCATTTCCCTCCATTTGAAACATTGTTGAGGGAAACATCGGTTACATAGTGTAAATATAAATCTCCATTTTCAGGGACAATGACATTCGATTCTCCACAGATTTAGTGTATAAGGAAGAGGAAGAAGAGCAGTAGGGATGAGTGGAAAACTGTCTCACACACACACACACACACACACACACACACACACACACACACACTCTCCATATTTCAGTCAGATCAGCTGCTGCTCTGCAGTTTGTTGTTTTTGCAGAAGATGCTCACTTTCATGATCTTGTGCTACATTTGGTTTCTGCAAACTTTTCTGATCTGCTGCGATGAAAACCCCACAGGTAAATGTCATATTACTCGTAACACTTTAATACAAGATACTGTTGATATGAGTTCTGTATTGACTTTTGAACCATTTAATATTGTATATTCAGTAGCATTTGCGCAACATACAAAATTTCAACTCTTAAATACCATTTTATTACAATATTCTAAAACTACTATTATTATTATTATTATTATTATCATTATTATTATTGACGTTTATCTCAGTTATACTTTGCTTCCACTAATGATGAATATTTATTCAGTATTACATCTTATTCATATAGCCAACAATATTGTGGCAAAATTAGCATATGGTGATTCATAATTATATTTATATTTTACTTATCACTGAAATATCAAGTTTAGATTTTGTATCACTTATTTCTTAAATATGATATGTATTTGTATTTCACAAATCCAGCAGCTAAAATCTAATTAAACAACATTAAAATAAGTCAACTAAGTTTGAGGTTTTCATCTGACAGTGATGACATGTAAATGCAGAAACAGAAAACAGAAGAAAAAAAAAAGAATTTGACTGTCATGTCCTGTTGAGTATTACCATTTAGTATAACATTTTCACACATATAAGCAAAGCTCAGCCTTGCAGGAATTGTAATTCCATCTTGACAGAATATTTCCTGTGTTGTTATGTTATGAGTCTGACTGGATGACAGTGAGCATGTTTCCACGAGATAAAAGAGGAAATGAGGCTAAAAACTGACGGTGAACATGATGTGAGTGACACAGCAGTGTATCTAAAACAGCAGCTGGTAAAGATGGCCGACATGACACAGTATGTAAGGCTGAATGTTGGGGAAATGTGTTTGAACAAACTTATATAATGTATTTTATTCTCAAACTGGCAATAGAAGTGTTTTCTTTTCTCTAATCTTGAACAGTTTTGACAGGGGAAAGTTTAACTTATACCTACACGTAAAATACAATAATACTGCATGAAAACAAAGTTACAAGGCTTTTCATGTTTATGTGGAAAAATAAGATTCATGTAAGACATTTCATGACTGCAAACACCCAGGAGACAAGAAGTAGGAGTTTCAGATCTGTCCTCTGTCGTGTCTCTCCTCCTGCAGTGATGCGGTTTTCAGTCCCAAAGGATCACCAGGTCTGTCTGCGGTGTGGCGGCTCTGACCGGTCCCATGTGGTCTGGACTCTTCAGGACAGACAGGTCCTGGTGACCAGACAGGGCAGCTACGTGACCAACGAGGACCGGCAACGCTACCTCCTGCAGCCTGACGGAGGCCTCTGTGTGCTGCAGCTCGACGACTCTGATAACGGGGAGTATCGCTGTAACCAGCTGCTGGTGGCCGAGCTGCAGGTGCTGACAGGTACAGGTGAGGGCGGAGCTGTGAGTGGCGCGTCATGGCAGTGAGAGGAAACTTGGTGATTAATCTAGTTATATCAGGAATCAGTCTTTTATTAAGACAGGAGGTTCCTTATTTTTATGCCTCTGCGCCGGCGACAGCCAGAGCCATATAGAGGCATATCGTTTTCAGGTTGTCCGTCCCATTCTCTTCGACGCGATATCTCAGTAACGCCTTGAAGGAACTTGGACTCAAGGATGAATGATGATGATGATGATGATGATGATTAGATTTTGAACAAAACAGGGTTTTGGCCCTTTGAATGTGGTAATTTCAAGACCACTTTGGGGAAATATGTTTAGATTTGGCACAAGCATTCACTTGGACCCAAAGACGAACTGATTAGATTTTGATGGTCAAAAGGTCAAAGTTCAATGTCACAGTGATCTCACGTTCTTGTGAATGCAATTTATCAGGAACACCCAGAGTGAATTTTAATTCTTCTATCACAGTGTCACAGTGACCTCAAAAAATGTATTTGACCATAACTCACAAATTCCGGGGGGGGGGGGGGGGGGCCTTAAGAGATGTAACTCTAACTAACTAACTGCCAGACTTTAAGACTGGTTACTGGGGTCCTCTATGAGTGTCCTTTAAGACTGTAAGCTATAACATGCACTGTTTTATCTATCTGTTTTATCTGTTTTATTTAGTTATCTAAAACTGAAGCCATAGAATCTAATAATACATAAGCCCATAATGTATTTAAGTTTAAACCGCTACATCTAGAAGGTGATCGCAAATGATCGACAATGAATAATCACAAAAACCACAATCAGCTCTAGAGATCAATGAAGCCGGGCTGTTCTCATCAGAGTCAAGTCAACGAGTGTGAGTGAAGTAGACTTAACAAAAAGAAATTGGGGCATGGTGACAGAGAGAGAGAGAGAGAGAGAGAGAGAGAGAGAGAAGGGGAAATTTGCTGGTACCACACAGTACTACACGACTACTGCCAACCAGCTACTGGTTAGCTAACTAACCACAATTTAACTAAAACTAAAACCAGAGTCGAGACACTGAGTGTGGTAATAGGCTGGTAACTATAGAGAGACTGTCCTCATGTAAGGAACAAGCTCATGGGTCGTTTGCGCAGTTGGTTATTATGACCCATAGTTAAATTTTGTTGCTAGGCGACATCTAGTAATTATGACAAGCAATCAGATATAAATAAACTTTGATATTTGAATGTGGCATGTTTATGACTGGTCAAATCAACAAGGACAAAATAAAATACCTTTTGATTTGGTGGGGCAGTCTGGGAATTTGATTGGGCATTGCCTAGAGCGGGACCCGTATCCCACTAACAAACACTGTACAGTAAGTGGATCAAAACCTGATTAACATTGATGAGCCAAAATGTTATGACCCCCTCTCACTTAACCACCATCCTCTCCTAACTTTAAGCAGGAATGGTCACATACACTGTAATGGATTTAGAAAGCACAAACAAACAATGTTATCATACCAACAGTGCATTAAAGCAGAAAGCTACAAACAACCTATCTTAATTTCTTATTTTGGGGGCGGACTCGTTTGCATGATCACACATTGTAAACATAAGTTTGACAAACATACACAAAAGGTGATTCAATACTCAGGGCAATGGCTCAATGAGGCAGAAACCACTGATTGCCCCAAAGGGAAGTAAGTCAGTCTGAGAGATGGTGTGAAATGGCTTTAACACGATGAATTTCATCTAGAATTGTGTGTGAAAAGAAGCTGTTGAGGACTGAACCAACCAAGGCTGTGACTGATTTGAAAGTTTAAAAGTTTTTGTTCCCACAGTCTGAAGTTGCCACATCAGCCACCTCACAATTACTGTATGTGATGAAAACTTTGACAAGTGACATCTTCAAAAGGGGAAATAAGGTTTCTGAAGAACTGAGAAATGAATACTTATTTTAGACCTGTGTTACTGTTGGTACATGAAGATACATTTAGACCTGCAGGTTTTAATATTGAGAGAAAATGGTGTGACTTTTATATATACTGAAAAATGCTTTTGTTTTACATATGTTATACATATTCATACAGATGCCCTGTGACTTTCCTGGACAGGCATATAGTTGTACAGGCTTTTTTAAAGCCTTTATCAGGCATTAAAAATGATAACAGGAAATGATGGGGGTGTATTGTATAGTATATTGTCAGAATTCAGGGAGGAATTGATGAAGTTGTTAATCTGACTTTGTAAGAGGCTGCTGCATCTGTTGCATCATGATCCTTAAGCCAGGTTTACAATGTTTGGTTTTTTTATTGCATGCAGGGCATTTGCACTTCAGCCAGTAAAACCAAAGCTTTTCAGTTACAGTTAGTGGCGTTATTCCATTGCAACATAAAACTCAACTTAACAACACCATGATACAACAATATGAACAAGGTGTACTTAAGAAATATCAGTGAGAAAATTGAGAGCACAGGGCTTCTCATGATACAACCACGCTGTAGGTGGCTGAACTGGAAGTGAGTAAGTTACAAGCTCCATGTGTGTCAGCATTTATCCACTAAGTCTGTTTCACTTTGGTTTTTCTTGATGCATCAAGTTTTCCATTTCTTTTTTTTTGGGGGGGGGGGGGGTTTCTATTCAGGTTTTTGCACTTGATTGTTCACAAATAGTGTCAGAATACCATGATTCCTGTCGCAGCCCTGTTCACACTGGCCAATCTGACACCTGGGCACCGTTCCTGATCACTGGGGTCATTTTCACAAAAAAGAGACTTTGACTGTGACTTAGATACAACAAATAGTCAAACTTCAGATAAAAGTCTAAATTCGTCTATTGCACAAAGCCGTTTAGTTCGTGACTATCTTAAGACAGTGAATTCTGGGTCGATCACATTAAAAAAAAACATTGTAAACCTGGCTTAAGGATCATGATGCAACAGATGCAGCAGCCCCTTACGAAGTCAGATTAACCACTTCATCAATTCCTCCCTGAATTCTGCCAGACAATATACTATACAATATACCCCCATCACTTCCTGTTATCATTTTTAACGACTGATAAAGGCTTAAAAAAAAAAAAAGCCTGTACAACGATGCCTGTCCAGCAAAGATCATACTGTCGTGGCTGGTGGCCGCAGCACATGCAGGAAGGGAGGATACATGTGCAGAAAGGCAGACGGGCAGTCGACAGACAACATGGAGCAGCCAGGGTAACAAGACCGAACACCAGCAAGGGAGCCGCTCTTGGATATGTGCACCAGGGAGCAAACGAGGGAAATGAGATACAGGTGTGTAGGCAGGCAGGGAGGCTCCAGTGGTTGGGAATGGGAAACAGGTGAGCAGGTGGAGCTGGAAACACCTGCTCCACCCTGGGTGGAGTTTGGCAGGAGACAGAAGGCTGAGGAATCATTAAACAAGAGAGTCCTCAATCCATCCATCCATCCATCCATCATCTATATCCTGCAACCTGCCTTCTTGCTGTGAGGTGCAAACCACTGCACAACCTCCAAATTGTGTTTTTTTTTTTCAATGTTTTGTGTGTGTGTGTGTGTGTGTGTGTGTGTGTGTGTGTGTGTGTGTGTGTGTGTGTGTGTGTGTGTGTGTGTTTCCTCCTCAGTATGTGAGTGAGTTTAGCCACTGTAGATCATACCAGATCTTAATTCTGAAGCCTGAATGTAAAAGTTGTCGAAAAAACATTTTATATAAAATAAACAGAGCAGATCAGAAATCCAGATGTGAGAAATACAACACGTACGACATAACGTCTTATATGAACTTATTTGGAAGAATCTAAAGTGACTAAAAATACTTCAGAGGAAAAACCCTACCATTGTCTAATTCACCACTAGCTGACCAGCTCTATGACAAATGCCCGTAACTCCTCTGTGTTTCCACCTCCTCAGATCATGATTTCATGGTCTCTGCAGGCAGGACGCTGCTGCTTCCCTGCAGCCGCTCACACAAACTCAAGCAGAGGTGGTTTCACCAGAGGAAAGGAGGGAGGCGGGAGGCCATCTTCACACTGTTCAGAAACGGGACGGCGAAAGCAGAGAGGGAGGGCAGCCGGCTCAGCTTCAAGAACAAATCCCTGCAGATCCAGGACCTGCAGCCAGAGGACGCTGGAGAGTATCAGTGTAACGGAAAGCTGCAGGGCAATGTCACCGTCCTCACAGGTGGGATATTACACTAACTGGATTCATCTGGTTATGATGTTACTAAGATACAGAGGACCCAATGTGACAGGATGTGACATTGTAATTTGTATTTTTAAGTTTGAACGTACAGTACAAACCTACAGAAAATTTGATTGACATTTTTTATTACTTTTGGTCATATAATTCACAAAATGTATTTTAACTTTAAGGAAATTATAAAGCAGGTAGTGTAGTGTTGAACATTGTTGCGCTGTTACTGACTGATCAATTAAAAAAATGTCTATCTTTTACTTATCAGTGCAAAATGAGCCAACCAGCATCCAGACATCCAACAGTACACCTCTGACATCTGCTGTGGGGATAACAGGTAGGATTCTCTACTCAGCACAGTAATACTGTATTTACAGAATTTATATTATAGTGCACTTACATTTATATTTATACTCATGTTTAACTTGGTACTCATAATGAATTAAAATTGAACCAGTTATTTTCTTAGTCAAAACTTCAACAGTTTCTCTTGTGGAACAAAAAAAAAAAAAAATTCTTCTGTTTGCAGAGTAAAATACTAACCTGTGTGAACATGATATCAATTTAATTATCATTTACCACAAATTAGAATATTATTAACATTGAAGATCACATGCACACAAATGTAAACACACATAAATGCTGTTTTATTCAGCATTCGATTCATTTATTTGCTGAAGTTGAGCATTTTTTTAACCTCTTATCTACCTTTATTATTAAAGATATAATCAAAGTTAATTCAAATTAAAAAATCATTTTTACACCTGAAACATTTTGGTTGGAAAAATCGAAAGGTTTTTGGTACATATGACCCCAGTTTGGACATGTGTATTTCATATTGTGTATTTTATGTTGTTGCTGCTGTGTCGATCAGATGTGGTTGAACTAAAGAAGAAGGAGAAGAAGAGAACTGAGAATGGTTGGTGAGACAGCACCTGCATACACTTCAGTCTCATGACTAAAGTTTTCACAGATGTTTGCGTGTGTGTTGATCAGACGTTGTGTGTGTGTGGTCTGTCTCAGCTGTATTGATGGTCGCTGTCGTCGGTTTGGGGCTAATGATCCTCCTCATGACTGCCGTCTGCATTTTACTGACCTGCATGAAGTGCAGGAGGAAGAGGAAATATAGATATGAAGGTTTGTGGTCTGGTCTGGTCTGGTCAGCTAAGCCACGTGTCATTATTTTTTTTCCATGTTTGGTTCATTCAGTCTCTGACGGTTGATTGCAAAACGAACAATGAGGAAATTATAAAAGTAAACATAAAAAAAAAAAGAAAAAAAATGAGTTATGGGCCTCAAAACCACGTCTTAAAAAAATGTACAAGATGTTGACAAGTCATATCTCTAAAAATTAGGCCTACTTTCATATGATGGCTTTTTCATCTTTTCCACCCTGTGCACTTTTTTGTGCATTTACTGTAATTGTTCCATTAATTACACTCAATTATATTTAGATTAGGTTAAAAATAAATAACAAAAAATAAATATCAGCAAAAAAATCCAGGTTAAAACCTCCTTTGGTGGTAAAAAAATGTGAATAAGAAAAAATTAGGATAATTAAAAAATATTTGCATATACGATTTATTTATCTAATTCTCTAGTTCTTTTTTGCTGAAAATGTTGATGTTGACGATTTTTTACTGTATTATTTGTTCTTTTATTTATTTTTTTGATGAGGCAAGTTTTGTCCTCCATACATGTATGAGAAAAATGAAAGCTTCTTTGTCCTTTGTAGATAAAAAAATAAAATTGTCGATGATACAGGTCGACTTTCCTTCCATCTGCACTTGTGTTTCCTCAGCAGAAGCACAGAGACACGAGGACACAGAGCTGCAGCCGTGGAAGACGTCCAGCAACAGACCGGCTGGTAAGAACACCCCGTCCTCTGAACGCTGCAATTATCCTCAGCTCAGTTTTCATCTTAAATGATAAGAACACACCTGTGTGTCCGCAGAGCGTGAGGTGTCGGAGAGTCCGTCCCTGCCGGAGGAGACGATCCACTACGCCTCTCTGGGCCATCAGAACTGGAGGGAGAGACCCAGCAGGACTCCACCAGACCAAGACCTGCACCACGTTATCTACTCTTCTGTCATCACCAGACCTGCTGTTAAATAGACTCCAAACAGAGACACACTTCGAGTTTGTGCAGCCCTAAAGTAAATACTCACTGTATGTATACCAACGTGATTAAATACTGATTTACACACTTATTTTACTGAACTTTTTTTCTTGTGTTTTTAACAATGGAAAACATACAATGCACACTATATGCAATACAATAATACACTGTAGAAGAGAGGGTTTAAACCATGACAGCAGTGAAAATGAAAAGAGCAACAAATAAATTCAAATGAAAATAGATAAAATAATCTCTATAATCCAATCTATGATCCACAAAAGTTAATAAAATGAGTCCATGTGATGGACAGTGCGCAGGATTCCTTGGTTTTCTGATTATTGTGCTTTGAAGGTTCCAGTCTTTATGCTAAGCTAAGCTGACCACTGACCTCTGGGGTGAGGGGTTCCTCGATGTTAACTGCCCCTGTACACCCTGTGTTAGACCTGCCACTATTGTTTTCACTATCAAATAATCTGACAATTTATTTTTTTGATAAATTGAATAATCATTTAGTCTATATGAGACATCGAAAACTGTCAAAACATTTTGCTGAGCTGAAGATGACATCTTAAAATGTTGTTTTTTAACTCCCCAAACCCCCTAATATTCAGTTTACAAAAAGAAAAGCAGCAACTTTCCTTTTTTGAGAAATTTAAATATGCAAATCTTTGGCTCTTTTCACAATTTCTGCTTGAAAAGTGATTGAAACGACTTAATCAATCATCATCAATCATTATTTTCCTATGGATTGACTCATTGTTTCAGCTCTTACTCTGTGTTTCTGCAGATTCAGGTAAATTGAGATAGAGCTGTTATGTCACTGCATTTTCAAAGTTGTATTGATGATGTTAAAGAAAAGATTCCACATGACAATCAAAATCTATTTATTGAGAGGTAAATATGCACAACGAACCCTAACATAACTGACGCACATCAGAGACAAGCACAAGAGGAGCTTAAAAAACAGTGGATGCTACATAAACATCATATACAAATAAGCTTTCTATCATCATGATTATTTGGCAAGCAGTTACAGTAACATTTTGACATTCTTCTGTGGTGTATTTATATATGTAAATGATTGAAAGAAATAGATAGTTGGTTTATAACTAAAACCCAAAAGAGAGCAGTGCTTCTACAGCAGTCACACTGACATGAAAAGTGAAATAGCTTTTAAAAAAATCATAGAGATACAGAAATAAAGTCATGAGTCATTACTTTCTCTAGCATATTAAAAATATCTGTCTTTGCATATACACAGGTCTATCTGCAGGTCTTAAAAAGTGTTTCCTAAAAATATATATATATCTTTTTAACTTTTATATTATGTTATATTATAGTCTAAAATGTCATTAATAAGGGTTTAAATATATCTTACCAGTCTGCTGTAGGCAGATTTTAGCCAAAACTGGCTGAAAAATCTCCATTCAGCCCTTCATCCCTTCATCCCTTCATTTTCTGCTGCTTATCCAGATCCTTAAAGATATTATTGTTCTAAACAGTTGGGACATGTGATATAAATGTCAGTAAATTCATGCACTTATAGTTGTCACTGCAAAATGTGCCATTATGAGGGGCCATAAGGGGACCCTTTTCCCCTTGGCTGGTTTGCCTCTCCTGACAGTGTGCCCCTGGGTATTATGAGATGGGCGGGGCCTTGGCTAGCTGGTTAACATGCCAACGCCAGTAGATATCTCTGCTGTGACATAACGTCACAACTGTAATTTCTTCACATTTTGTTGATCGTCTAGTTAACTTTTGAGGGTTTTACACTGACATACTAACATACTGGCCCTTTAAAGAAGTGAGAGAGTGTGATCTACTTTCTCACCAGCAGGTGGTGATGAAATTCATCATTCACTAAAACTTGTATGTAAAAAAAAAAAACATGGTACAAAAACAAGAAAGAGGCTCTCTATCTGTTCTCGTGTGATGTGTTTGGGTTCTTGCGACTCATCACTGTTGAATATGTGACATCCTCTTTGACCAATCTTGTTCCTCCGTGGCCAGAGGGGCGGGGCTGGTGTGCATGCTTCAGACTGGAGTAGTGCAAAGACATGTCCTGCAGAGACAAAAAAAACAGATTATACTGCAGTTAGAAGAAATATATCAACTGTTTCTATGACTGGACTGACTCAAACATCCATCAGTTGTAAAGACTTTAAAAATGTACACAAGTAATTAATATAAAATGGAGACAGTTGAGGAAAAACAACCTGTTCAAATTCCTGTAAAACTTGTAATGTAAAATATATTTATATTTATGCACAGTACACGTGTTTATGTGGAACACTGGTGATGCAGAAATCATGCTTTATCAATATAGTGTAAAAAAGAAAGTCAATATTAATTGTTGTACTTTTGATTACATCCAAAAAAAGGAAATTTGTCACTGTTGGGACAGAATCCAAAATTTAACCATGCCAAGAATTTATGGAAGTCCAAGGTCAAAAGAATTTTAGTGTCACTATATATGAAGAGGAAAAAAGTAAATAAGTAAGGAAATAAATAATGGAAAAAATAAGGATGAAGGAAGGACGAACAAATGAGAGAATAAAGGAAACAAATACAGAAAAAATACAAATTTAAATGCTTATGTGCAAAATACCTAGTGTCTCCACTGGATAAATACAGTGGAGTAACTTATGCAGTTAATTTTAACAGTATCATAAAAAGGAAAATACAACAGTCAATCAGAGCTTGTATCAAACTCTGACGTGTGACCATCCACTGACCTCTGTGATCCTCAGACTGGAGTCTCTTCTCAGTGAAGGACAGCAGCAAACAGCTGGTTTTCCTGAGGACAAAGGAGAGGAAGGCAGAGAGGAAGTGAAAAAGACCTGGACCTGGGTCAGTGGTTAAACTTTAACACCTAGAAATCGGAGTGCAGTTTGTACTTGGTTTGACAAGACAAAGATAAGCCAACAGAAAAATTGCATATTAATCACTGTACAGTTCATACATTACATTTGCATTCACATATTACAAAGATGACATAATAAAACAGCACAAAATGGAATGAGGAGAGTAGAGTGCCTGTGCTCTGGACTAACCCAGCCACCTGACTTCTGGTCCTGAGCCTCACTCAGCGTTAAGTGAAAGTGAAAGTATGAAAAGTGAAACTGGGGCAGTTGTATGTGCGGGAGGAGCAAACAGAATCTGAGCTTTGCTGCTTTCTTTTCTAACTATTCCTCGACAAATTTTCTCTGTAAACTGAGAAAAGATTTTTTTTTTTTTTTTTTTTAAAGATACTTTAAGTCTTCTCGAAGGGAAGAGCAAAATTATTCTTTCAGACCCCCGCTCCCTCCTCTCAGCAACAATGCCAGACACTAATCTGTGCTTGGAGGCCCTGTCGTCTCTCTCTGGCTGCAACGTCGAGTCGACCAGCGGACCCTCCCAGCTCACCCCGCAGGACTTCGTCAACATCGTGGCCCTCAAGGAGTTTTACAAGCAGGAGGGATTTAAAGAGCTAGAGTACCCCAGTTTAGGCACTCTGTCCCTACAGGAAGTGGACGAAGTGGACCTTTACAGCTCCCCCCTGGCTCTGACCGAGGGCCCCGGGCCGGAGGAGAGCCTCAGGACCACGGTTAAGATCAACCCTCAGGACTTCTTCCATCCTCAGTACGACTACGACTTCACCAACATACAGGTGAGCAGAGTAGAGCGTCTATTTATCTTTCCTCCTCGTTCTCTTAGAGGTGTGGTGATGACAGGGTTGATAGTTAATGAACAAATGAAGATTCATGTGATTGAATACATTAATGGAATCTTAGACAGCTGTTTGGACGTCATTGTCCAAAATGTCAAATTTAATATGACATATAGAGCTGAGGTGAGTGAGTGAATATTACATAACAAAAACACATTGTTTTGCAGTGAGTGAGTGAGTGAGTACTGTGTAACTACAACTACGTTGTTTTTAAATGCGTGTGAATGAGTGACTGAAAAATTAGCCAGTGACTCAGTGAGTGAGGGAGTAAGGTTATGTCAAAAGAACCCACTGTTATGAAGTGAGTGAATCAGTGTGAATATTATGTCAATTCAAAACATTGCTTTTAACTGAGTGACTAGATGAGTGAATGAGTAAGTCTTTTTTTCTTTTCTTTCTTTCTTTCTTTCTTTCTTTAAATGAGTAAGTCAATGAATGAGTGAGTAAGTGAGTGAATGTTATGTGAGTACAACCAAGTGTTGAAGCGAGTGAGTCAATGAGAGTTAGCAACTGAATAAACGAGTGAGAGACAAAATAAGTACGGAAATGTATGAATGAGTACACACAATACATATGCAGCTTTCTCGGCCCTGGTCAGTTGCCCCATTTGCCCACTTGATATTCAAGAGAGAGGATCATCCAAACAGTCCCTGTCAGCAACTGCAAGCGATTGAAGTTGGACAAAAATAATTTCAGTTCCTGTGCCAGTGTCATACCAGGGTTTCCTAGTTTCATCTCCTGTTTCTTTTGAGAAATATACATATGTGTTTTCTTACAAAATTCAGCTTTATATTTCATAGAATAAATACAATACAATAATTAAATACATTAGTGTTTGATTTAGTCTTATATATAAAGAATGAGTAAAGAGCCAACTTTTGATTTTTGGTACTTGACATTTTTGTTCATACCCAAAAGGTTTGAGCTTCAGTACTCAACCCCAATCTCAAGAAACTTTCAAGCCTTGATTTTCACAGCATCATGTATGAGTGACTGGTCATGATTGGTGCAGCAAAATGTCATTAGCATATAGCATTGTAGTGTTTTCCTTTAAGTCGTTCCAGCTCTGACCCTTAACCCCTCTGTTGACCTCCAGGATGGCAACAAAACGTTCCTGCGTGGTAATGAGGCCTACGTGCGTCCCTGTGGGTGGAACCGTGCAGCCCTCCGAGTCGTGCAGAAGTACGATGATGGGGACTCCTGGCTCGGGACGGGTAAGGATGCCTGGCCTGTCTCCTACCATGGACAAAACATGGACGGCTCCCACGGCATCATCCTGACCCACGGTGGGTCCCCCAACGATGAGCCCCAGTTTCTTGATGCCGCCGCCGCAAGTCTAACCACCGGGGAGACGAAGGGTAGAGGGGTGTACTCAACACCTGACGTCAAGATGGCAGAGAAGTACTGCAAGAGGTTCAAGTCCAAAGTGGACGGGAAGACGTACAAAGTGATTCTTCAGAACCGCATCAAACCGGAGAAGAGGACAAAGTGCCAGAGAGAAGACATCTGGTTGGTCTACGTCCCTGAAGGCCGCAATGACGTCCAGACGAGGGTCATTGTGCAGGAATCCATTCGTCCATACGGGCTGCTGCTGAAGCAGGTGTGAGCCAAACTTATAAAACCATCTCAACTTCAGGGAAAGAATTCAATGGGGTGTTTTCTTGATTATCAGCACAAAAAAAATGCACAAAATGATTGATCAAATAAACGCTTGAAGTCATTCAAAATTGTGTTTCAGGGTTTCTATATGCCTGTTGGGGGCTGTAGGGATAAACCAGGCTTTACTGTGAGACCTTTATTCTTACATTTTTATCAAATATAAAGCTTCTCCTCAAATAGCAACCATATCCTACTTTAATAACATATTGTAGACTTTCTAATCATCTACTATACCTTCAGTGAGTTTAATGTTTTATTAATCTCTGTAGAAATTTGTTTAACTTTGGGGATTTTTCTGACACACAGAGATATTAAGCTTGATGGATGTAACCAGTAAAAAGAAAACAAACACATATCTGTGCTTTCGTCTGTCTACATTGAACATGCAACAGTGGACAAACCCAATGCTGTGTTCAAATGTAAGAAGAGATTGTGGCTACAACAAAGCAAGATGCAGCTGTGAGGCTGATTTATGCTGCCATCTAGTGGTGCATATAGTGATGTTTTATATGTTCTACACAATGAGGGAACAATCATCAAAGTGGTGAGATTGAACTAGTCTAGTTTTCTTTTCTTTATTCAATAAGAGCATCTTTGCAGATTTTTCTTGTTTCTGGGCTTTTATGTTGCACAAACTGAACTTCCTTGAACTGGACTGATGATAAATACCAGCTGAACTTATGAAATGTCAAACAAAAAGTAGGCTTATTATTCTAGCATCTGAAGGAAAGGCTTGGTTATTGACGCACTTTCATAAACAGCGAGTGAGTGATTGGATTTCATTGTTACATGTGATTGAAAATATTATGAGGTATGATAATGCAGTTGTTTTTTGTCTCTTACACCGTGTCCCTTAATCTCCTGTTTTTGTTTTCATCAACCAGTAAGACTGCAAATTCTTAGTGTGAACAATATCATACATGTTTTGCAGTGTCTGACTCTGTCAATAAAAGCTGCTCACATATCCTGGTGTGAAGAACCTCATTGTTGTGGTATCTAACAAGGTGATGTATTATCTTTATACTTTTATCGTAAAAAGAAATCCTTGTCTAAAACTTGGAAACTTGGAAAACTTGACAAGTCTAAAAACTTTTTCCTTGTTTTAGTTTTTCATTAACTCGTCCTTTAAGTGCACCTTCCTTCCTTACGGCCGAGATGCCTTCACAGATTAATGTTTTTACTTCAGTTCATTTGAATGAACGCGTGACCAGAGCCGGTGAAACTTATTCCTCAACCTTTAGACAGACATTAAGATGAGAGTTCGATATAGATTTTCCTTTCTGCTACACATTACAAGATTCTTCAAAATGCCTGTTGATATTTAAAGTACATAAATGTGCTTAGACAACATGGTAGTTACTGGAAGTACTCAGATCTTTTACTTAAGTAAAGGTATCTGTACCAAAATGTAGAAATACTCTGTTACAAGTCCTGCATTCAAAAGTACCAAGTAGAGTATATCAAAATTGTACTTGGGTAAGTGTACTTAACTATATTCCATCTGGATGTGTTGGTGATATGGATGTATTAAGAGATTTTCATAATATATGCACAGTTGGTGACTGAAGCTTAATGTAGATTAGCTCTGTGGTGAGTGTTGCAATTCATGCAGTCCGCCACCAGATGTCAGTTAAAGTAAAGGATCATATAGCTCAAAATGCTCCATACTGATGCATCAATATGTTAACAGCTTTTTACTGTTGTAGCTGCTCAAGATGGAGCTGGCTTTAACTCCATTATTTACAGTGAAGTAGTTTGATCCAGTGGTGACCATATAAATCTGAGGGACTGTGAGGTGATTAATGGCATAGGAAAGAGGAAAAAACTAATTTCTGATATACAAATTTATAGTAATTATATTCACTATCTATTTAATCTTTAACAGTGTATTTTATGAAAATACCTAACTAAAGGACAACTACCTTAAAATTATACTTATAAAATTGTTAACGTCCTACCTTCATGGACGTAAAACGTTTCCTATTACGTACATAATCCTAACTTAAAGCAGCACAACTGCATGAAACCGAACCTTACCCCAAATCTTACCCTCTAAACTTGGTAAACTGTACCAAGTTTTAGCACCAAAATGTATTCACTTTCCAAATATGTCCTCACTTTTCAAAAACGTCCTCTCCCTCAGTGTCAAATATTTGGTCCCCACAAAGATAGAAGCAAAAGACACAACCAACCACACACCTGAGCACAGGCAGAGTCCAAAGAGGAAGACGAAAACGAGGGCAATTAAAGCTGGAAGCGCACAGATTCCCAGTCTCCAACCCGGCTGCCTCATTTTGTCTATGGCCCATAACTCCCCATCAGCTCCTGGGAACACAAAGAAACAGGAACACCAGTAGGTTATTAATCATCAACTGATATTTTGGCCTCTGAGCTTTCCTGAACAACTGTTTGGAACTTGTATAAGTTGCAAATTCTGCCCAGTTGAGCTACTCTTTCTTCATTTGGGTGGTTAAAAAGTGATTTGGGTCATAACAATTTTAATAATTTGGGCTACATTAGGGCAGTTTCGACCTACAAAAACTTCTGCTATACTTTAGCGGTTTAAACTTTTAAAACCCATGGTTCCCAATTTTTCTGCAATCTGTGTGAAATACTGGAGTCAAAACTCAGTCAGATCTGAACACACAGACATAATACACATATATTTGGATTCAGTGTGAGAAGTTTTGTCTCCCTCTTCTGGCAGTGAGAGTAAATACACAAACACTGAGCTGACCAACTTCTGACCTTTTCATTTTCCTGTGAACCAGAGAGATACTGAAAACGAGAATGTCTTTTTGAGAAACATCTGATGGTTATGAAACCAGATGAGTACTTCTGCATGACGCCACAGGCTGTTTTCATGCACCTCTTACCTCAGAGGAATAAAAATCATGGCAGCTGTGCCTGAACATGACCCTCTCTGGTTTTCAATGTTATCAATAAAAAACTATCCTAAACTCAACAACTGAACTGGAAAAGATGGCTAATAAGGAGATGAAGTCAATCTCAAGCTAACCAGTTTCAGAGTTTCAATTGTTATAATAAACCTGAGACATACAGGGGTTTATATTCTATTTTATTTTATAGCCTCACTAGAGATAAAATGTCAGAACTAAATCAATGAATAACCATCAATCTTACCATTCACAGTTAGAAGAACCCCTCTGTTAACACATACAACATCTGCACACCACCCTGTGCAGAAATACAGCCCAGCATCCTTCTCCTCTACCTCCAGGATCTCCAGGCTGACCGGGCCTCTCTCTATGTCTCCCCGGGTGTAGATGCGACTATTGTTTTTAGAGTGAAAGCTGACCAGATTTTGTCCTATTTTGCTTGGTGTAACTGTCAGCAGTGGCAGCAGCTGGTCTGAACGCAACAGGTACCAGGTGATCTCCCTGCTGGACGTCAGGTTACAGGTCAGTGTGACGTTCTCCCCCACCTGGACCATCCGGGGAGAGCGGGGAACAGGTGAGGCTGAAGAGTGGTGGCATCCTGCAACACCTGAGGAGATGAGGAGATGATGCAGTGTCACAAGGCTGATGCTGACCTTCAACTAAATATCAGATATATAGATACTTGATATTAATAGTGGACATAATACACAACATATGGCCAAAGGTATGTGGACACAATTCCTACATATAGTTAAATGTTAGCCCTGGTTTGGGTTGTGTAGATCCAATGAAAGCAAACATAATGCTACAGCATACAGCGAAATTTTGGACTATTGTTTTCCAACCTGTGGGTTGGGACCCCCAATGGGGTACCAAGATTAATCCGAGAGGTCACACAATGATGACATTAAATTTTTTCCTTTAAATGTTGCTCTTTTTTTGTGATTTGCTGGAAACTTTGAATTAAATATGCACCACAGACACATTTCCATAGCTGCAAACTTGTCACCTTTTGGGGCAAATTTGCCATTTTGAATGAACGCTGTGGCGTCTGTGTGATTTGCTTAGAACTGAAGATGCTCTGTGGTTGTTAGGTTGTCGTTACTTGAAAAGTTTGAATGAGCTACAGAGCGTTAGCTTGTCCAAACTGAACTAACTTTGTCTGACCCAGCGATGGCAGCAATCAGTTAAAGGAGAAGTGTGGGGAAGAGGCGACGCTCCTAGTCGTATTCATCTTCTGTGCGGCACCAGGCAATGTAGTCGCAAAGCATAATGAAAACACCCACACCTGTTGCTTTCAATGTAATGTCACTTAGCTCCAGAGATAAATGTTAAGGAATATCTATTATCTTTATTTTCCACAGATGTGGAAATTTTCCTCTGGCTTCACAGGCTGGTTACAACACATCATTTTAACTCACAAACAATAAATACAACAATAAAATTAGCAGTAACATGCACAGTACAGACAAGAACAGACATGATTCTAGTGTGGATGAATCTTACGAGTTCAACAAAGTTATTGCATTTGGTATAAAGGACTTTCTCTAACCGTTCTTGGTTGCCTTATAGCGTCTTCCTGAGGTGAATTCTTCAAAAAGGGAATGAAGAATTAAAAAAGAAGAAACTGAGACTGAAGTCTTAGGTTTCATTTCAGACACGTCCTGTTTTTCTTTGGAAACCAGGAAAAGGCTGTTTAATGCCACCTATTGAATAAAAGCACCCAGAGATGGCAGAGAACGCTTTCATGTTTTCTGCTCCAGCTACTTGGAATGGTTTGCAAAGGTAAATTAAATTAAAGAACTTTGTATAGCAGACTGAATTCAATTTTTGTATGGGACAAAAGAGAGAAAAAATTATTTTTTATATCAAATCACTGTCAGACAATTGGGGACCCTCACGTCACATGACCAATCCAACTGAGCCTAAAAAACCAGTCTGTCCCAGACCAGGACCACAGAGACTTGGGCACTCTGTCCTAGGCGCACTCTGTGGCGCCAAGGACTTATAAAAGGTCACAGATATTCAGGTCACACCCTCAGAGCTGCCAGCTTGTTTTCTTTCAGTTTAGTTTTGGTTTTGTTATTTTTAATATGAGTTCACTGCAGCCACAGGCGTGAACCAGTTCATGAGCATAAACAAACCAGACATCATGAATTATACAATGAGCTTCTGAATTAAGGCCAAATACTCCTTCAATTTCAGACCACAGCTAATTCTGAAAGTCATTGCCACACCCTGGATTTTAAATTAAATATAAAATAAAAAATAACTTACAGAGGAAAGTGAGGATCCATGTGAGACCTGCCATAACTGAGTGACAATGTTCTCCAGCTGTTGTGCATGGAACTGTCAGCAGCTGATAACTGAACAGCACTGATTACAGAGGGAGGAAGTCAGTGGGGACTTTATTGAACACCAGGACACAGAACGTGCAGACCACCAACACGTCTCGTGTCATGAAAGCGGAAGATTGAATATTTTTCACAAATAAATCTTTGCAATGCGCGTTCACTGCTGAGGCGTTGGTATACCCGTAGGTTTCGTTTCTCCAGAGTTAAGTCAATTCTCGTGCGTTTGCTATTATAACCGGAAGCTGTTTCAAAATAAAAGCACTACAAACTGCACCAGTGGTTCGAAACTAGAAAGTCCCCTGACCACACCGTTGTTTTTTTTTAATTTCTTGAGAACAAACTCGATCAAATGAACCACATCAGCCCGGAAAAAACATCATCGATCTTGTTGATTTATGGTTTTTAAAATTTGAAAGTATTTTAGTGTTGAAATAGAAACATATAAAGTCCAAAATTGTAAACTAAATAAATACAGAGATAAATAAATAAGTAACAAATGCAAAAATAAAATTAACCGAATATAAAAAATAAAGTATAAATATATAAAACATATAGCTATATGTTTTTTTTATATATATAAGATAAAATAATATATGAAATATAAAGTTTTCTGAGACTGTTGTAAATATATCGCCTGTTGCCAATAAAATCCTTGTGTTTGTATTTTGAGGTGAAAAAAAGAGAAAGGCATCAGACTGATAAATAAAAACAGAAACAGAAGCAGTCTGTGGTCGGTCAGTAGCTTCATGATGTTTCATAATTTGAATTATTAATCAATTAAGAATTAATTAACTAAAATTAATTGAATAATCATTTTATTTGTATCTTTTGACGCTGTTTCAACCTGCAGCTTGGAGCGGTACAGGTTTAGTGGTTAGTGCACAGACTGTGGGTAGTGCTAGTTTTATTTTGAACGTCACAGGAAGTGGGAGCCATAAACGATAATTGATAAATTGTGCTCTCTGCTGAGTGTCAACACACTTCAACAGCGGTGCAGCTGAGGAAGGAGAAGAGGACTGGACTAAGTTTCCAAACAGCTGACATCATCAACATCATCAACAGTCATGACCTGGCATTGGTAAGAAACGCTACGTTTTATTTTGAAATGTAAATCTTTCCTCACTGTTAGTTGGACTGTTTACGCCTTTGTGTGTTCTATTGTATTATTATTATTTTACTAAGTGTCCATGCAAAATAATGAGAATGAACTTGTTTCATGAAATGAAGCGGTGCATGTCTGAGAGGCTGCAGGGCTGCAGATATCTGCAAAATAAAAGAGGCATTAAAGGTCTTTTCTGATGATTTTCACTGCAGCAAAGTCCGTGAGCGTGTGGACGCATCAGTGCAGCATCAAACCGCAAGTGACGAAAACCCACAGATCACCGCCCTCTGCAGTTTCGTTTGAGAGTAAACCATCAGTAGAAACGAAACTTATCGATCCATATGCGTCCAATATGAATCTGTTACTCTCGATTCTCTCACCTGGCTCAATGTCACCAAGAATCAGTAGTTTATATACTGAAGTATTTTTCTTTACTGGAGTATTTTCATTGTATCCCATTTTATAATATAATATACGGAAGAGGACTAAGGCCAAATGTGATTTTTTTTTTTTTTTTTTTTTTTAGAATTCTGATTTGAATCTGAATATTTTATTCTCAGAATTCTGACTCTAAGAAAATATTTTTTCACATTAGGGCCACATGTGAAAAGATTTTTTTTTCTTTTCTTTTACCTAATCCTCTTTCATAATAACCTACTCCACTTCATTTCAGAGGGAAATATTGCACTCTTTACTCCACTACATTTATTTGGGAACCTGTGATTACTTTACAGATTAAGATTTTATTTGCAAAATATTAGAAGATTTTATAAAATAGGACTGAAACCAAAATTTTTTTCCTTGTTGATTAATCTTAAGATAATTTTCTCTAATTAACGTATTGATTATTTGGCCTATTAAATTTTCATTAAATTTTATTTAAAACAGAGAAAAAAAATCCTCAGAAAAAACAGACATTTCAATGAAAAATGATCATTAATCAATTATCAAAATAGTTGTTGATTAAACATTTGATGATTAATGAATCATTTTAGCTCTATCATATAAACTATATAATGTATTGCTCTACATAGAACTACCCAGGAGTATATAAAATCTAAAATGCTGCTTATATGTTAGTACATCACTTATTACTATATTAATAACATAATATTTATTAATAATAATAATAATAATAATAATAATAATAATAATACATTTTATTTGGCAGCGCCTTTCAAAGCACTCAAGGACACTTTACAGAAGATTAAAAACACAATAAAAATAATAAAAACAACAGACAATTAAATAATATAGAGGATATAATGATATTAATGAAAGGGGGCAATCTGTACAATACTTCTACTGGTGCATTTACATTGTACGAGATATGATTGAAGCCAGACCGAAACAGTGTAATGAAATCCAGGACATATAGGACATATAAACTATATTTAGGATTATGGGTCTATAATATTCCTGTAACTCATCTGGAGCTTCTGTGTGTCAGATTAATTATAATCAGATTCATTATAATCAAATTTGCTGTGACAAGCAGGTCTATAATGATATCTACTCTCAAAGACTGATCGTTGCTTCTTCTCATGTTTCCTCCAGGGTTTTCATACATCTTCAATGTTTCCTGATTGGCAGTTTAGTTGGTGAGTATCAAGCTGTTATTATTTCCACCACAGAGGTTTTTTTAGTTTAACTGCTCCTGTTGCAGCTGCCATGTTCTGCAGAAATCATATCTCAGGGCTAACTCAAGCTCAAAGGTGGTAAAATTCAGTGACTGGCCAGAGGGGGGGGGGTCATTTAAGACATATTCCCACTGCTCATTTAATGTTGTAGTGATATGCTCACTGAACTGGAGAATCAGAGATCTGAATCTGAATCTCTTTAGAGATTAATGAACACATGCACTACTCTGCAAACTTCTTGTGTGTCAGCAGCAATTTACTGCTGCTGCTGCTGCTATCTGGGAGCTATAGTTTATCTACTTGTTTTTGGTCACAATTAGTTATTTTAATTCTGTGGTTCCCAATCGGGGGGTCAGGCCCCTCCAAAGGGTCACAAGATAAATCTGAGGGGTCATGAGATGATTAACGGGTGAGGACAGAAAGAAAAAACATAAAGGGAAATATTGGAATATTTGACCTCTTCGGGAATTACTTGTTTTATCATAGGCATTGTGTTTTATTTTATAAACTTATATATTTTGTGGAAAAATCTTAATCTGAAAAGTATCAAGCAACTCTAGTTAAATAAATATAGTAGGGAAAAATATAGAGTAGAATTAAATGGAAATACTTGGGTAAAGTACCTAAGTATCTAAAAGTGAACTCTACTTGAGTAAAAATAGTCGTACCGCATCATACTTGATTTTACCACAACATATCCTCTAAAGGACATCCAAGCTGTTGAGGACATTTTCCTCCATCTCCCACCTCAATGCCTCTCTCCTTCCAGACTCCTCTTCCCTGTCCTCCGCCACCAACTTCCTGTCCATCACTTCCACGGTGGGGAACCAGGTGGTCCTTCCCTGCAGCTGGAAGCCACGCCTGGGGAAAGTGGCCCCGTCCGCCTGCCACATCCAGTGGACCACCATGGCCGACACCGTGTTTGAGCAGCGGGAAGGGCGGAAGTGGCAGGCGGAGGAGTTTGTGGGCCGGGTGGAGGTTCCTGAGGAGAAGCTCGGGTCCGGGGACTGTTCTCTGATCATCAGAGATGTTCAGATCGGAGACACGGGGCGATACGAGAGCTTCATGGTGGTGGACGGAGTGAGGTCCACAAAAACGAAAGTCTTCATTCAGAGTGTCAAGCTGTCTGTGTTCGGTCAGTTTGGGTTTGGATGGTTGTTTCTTCATTTCATTCCTGCCCTTCTCTTTTTTGTCATTAACCCACCTACGACTGTTTTGTTTTCCCTCTCAGACCACAAATCTCGTCAGTCTCAGGCTCCAGGTGAGGACTTGGTTCTGGATCTCCACACCCGTCACTCTGTGAGAGTGATCTTCCAGAGCAGGTAAGCTGCTTACCTACAATCAAACATTTCGTTTTTCAGGGTAAAAGAAAAAAACAAAATCTGCTTACAAATTGAGACTTTTATATTTAAGTTTATATATAAGCTTTCACCCTTCTACCATTATCGAGAATCTTTACATGTTCACATTAAGTCTCTTTATTTCTTTGTCTTCTCTCACCTCGCCTTCTCTAATCTTGTCTTGGCTCCCACACAAATGCTACCTACTCTGATCTGTTTTTTTTTTCCCCCCACAAAAAAAAAAAAAATAATACAAAGACACCTACTCCTAAGAAATACTGTTTGCGTCAAACTAAAATAGGTTACAGGCTGCTGGTAAAGTTCTGACTCACCCAATAAACTCTGCTTACAAAACAGAGTCTTTGACGACAGGATCATGTGGGTTTTTTAAAAAAAAAAAAAACAAACAGTAATTTTATGTAGCGGGACTTTCTCATGTAAACTTTTCACTCTCAGTTTAAATGTCCATGGTCCCCAGAAGATGAGCCATTTTATTTGATTTTAATGACTGCTTGACCTTTCCTCTTGCACCACCTTCAGCTAACAACCTCCAAGAAACAGGAGGAGAGAGTTAGATTTTGATGAATTTTGCTGAGCCTATCCGTGCTCCTCAGAGGATGAACCCTTTTCATTTGGGATTTCCTCGAGCAGTACTACTAGGTCTAAAATGTCAACTTTGTACAGGTTTTCTATTAAATGTTCTGTAGATGTTTATGAATCCTAATGAATTTTGGTGACACCCTTACCTTTCCTCCACTTACAAACGGCAGATTAGCATCATTCATGCTGAATTTTACAGTATATTTTCATGTTCCCCTGAGGATGAACCTTAATGATTTCGGTAATTCATTTATCTTTCCATGAGCTTCAACCAAAAATTATCCTCACACAAAATATATCAAAGTCAAATTGGAAAATTTTTAATCATACTTAATGAGCTCATTCATGCTGCCCAGAAGATGAACCCCCTTTTGATTCTAATGGCCCCTCAGTTTGAGCTCCATTACTGGCGAGGCTCTAAGAAAAGCTAAATCATAAGTATTCTATTTGTTTTGTCCACCACTTTCATATTGGGACTGTGATAAACACCGCAGCCTCTAGAAGGCGCTGGCAGGCTTAAAGTCTTGTTTTACGTTTCTGCCACTGGCTCGCTCTAACAGCCACTGACCTGTGCTCGACAGGAACAGCTCAGTGTCAACGGACCTGTGGATGAGGGGGGATGAGAACAGTCTGCGTCTGGAGGAAAATCCACTGAAGGAGCAGCTGACGATAAAGAACTTAAGGCGCTCAGATGAGGGAACGTACAAAGTTCTGGATGAACGGGGCCTCGTCATCAGCACCGTGCAGCTCTCTGTGGAAGGTGAGGGTCTTCCTCTGCTTCCTGCTGAAGTAGTTGATATATATATATTTCTTGGTCTCCAGTCAGTTCATTAACTGATCAATCAACACAATTTCCAAATATATAAAAATATGTGTTTATGCAAAAAGCATATATACATGGTGAAAAGTTTCGGTCCTAGCACAGAGCTCTGTGGAAGTGAGAACATTTTCCATCATTATCATAGAACCTGATTCCACAGAACAAAGCGTCTCTACAGTTTGACTGGTACAAGTGTAATTTTGCATAAAGTCTTATCTCAAGTAGTTGTACATTTTGAATTAGGATTTGCATTGTAATTATATGCAGCTGATGTAACTCATCTGTTCCACAGACGGCTCCACAGCTCTCAAAGTCCACCAGTTTATGGAAAAGGAAATAACAGGTGAGAAAACAATATGTATATTCTAGCATATGAACCAGAACTGAAGGAGTTATATGAAGAGAAAGTTGTTTTAAAAAAAGAAAAGAAAAAAAAAATCTGGAATAACCCTCTGATGTCTCCATACTTTGATGTCTTTCCAGGTGACGCTGCCGAAAGCAGTTATTCTGCTCTTCTGATCTTGTCTGGTCTTGTCATGAGTTTCCAATTTTCTCATCTGCTCTGAGACAATCTCTGCAAAATGACAACACTCTACATTTAAACAACATGTTACATTTAAATAATTTATTATGTTTCTAAACTATAAAATTTAACCTGTGTGAAGTTTCAAATGAGCCAGTTTAACAATGTGTGGTGTTGTGTCAAGTGAGGTAGGGAGTGACAAGTGTGAGTTTGTGTGTAAGTTTTGAGTTAAAGAAACATTTGTGTTTTAGTTTGACAGGTTGAGGTCTGAAACACAACTCTGGAGCCAAAATTCGAATACCACTCGTTTTAAACTGGACCCACCGATGCAAGAGTCTTTGTGAACGTGAATAAATTTGGGAAAATCATAAGTTAACCACCGCAAACTGAAATGACTTCACTGTGACCTTTATTAAGAGCGAACAACGCGTTTCACCTTTAGCCGCTTCAGTTTCAGGTTCGCTCAGCAAAACTACAAGAGTAACTCACAGATGTGATACATACATATGGGTCACATGACTAATTATCAGTCTTCAATTTGTCTGTTTTTAATGTTTCAATATTTTTCTTCAAAAGGTAAATATTTTTCAAAAAAACAATGTAATAATATTACACAAAACTACATTTTCAAAAAACAAAACAATATTACAAAAACACAATTTTTCATAAAACGACAAATGTATTTCGCAAAATTACATTTATACAAAAAAATGGCATTGTTAATGTTACACAGTTACAAGAATTCTTCATTAAAATTATCTGAATAATTTTTGTAACTGTGTAATATTAACAATGCCAAGAATGTGTTTGGAAAAATGTAATTTTGTGTAATACTGTCATGTTTTCTAAAAAAATTTTATTTTGTGTTATATGTTTTTTGGTTAATGTAATTTTGTGTAATGTTATTGTCATGTTTTTTGAAAAATGTTTACCTTGGAGAAATTTTTTTTTTTTTTTTTTTTAAATGACAAATTGAAGACTGATAGTCATGTGACTATACATGTCTGTGAGTTACTCTTGTAGTTTTGCTGAATGAACCTGAACCTGAAGCAGCTACAGGTGAAACGCGTCGTTCGCTCTTAATAAAAGTCAGTGAAGTCATTTCAATGTGTGGTGGTTAATTTATGATTTTCACTTGAGATGTTCCTGAGACCAACCACCACCTGAACACTAATACTGTTGAGCTCTGTTCAGTTAATACATTTGTAATCTGATAACTTTTATATCGATCTTAATCTAGTATTAGGTCTCTACAAACGATGATGCAGCAACTGAGGCAACATGCATTTACATGGTGTGCCTGTTCGTATCAGAAAGTGAGGATTACCTTTTCTTTTTTAGTAGTTGGTTTGGACAGTAGCTGAAAATAGAAATATTGCTTTGTGTCGGTTTGTTAATTCCAATCTTAGATCATCTGATGTGTACTGAACAATGCCCATTTTTTGTTCAATACACATTGAGCAAACACTGGAGTTCAACCAGTTAAATAGAAATCAGATAATGATTGAACTAAGTTTTGGACTATTGATCAGACAAAACAAGAGAAACTGTAAAGGAAATGTGTCATAATTTTTTATAGGTTTAAGAAACCAAAAGTTTATTTGATTAGGAAAATGATTTTAGGATTAATCCACAAGGTACATATTTAGTGTTTAGTGTACACTGTATTGTCTTATAAATTATGTGAGTACTTCTTCCACCACTGAGTATATGTCATGTAAAAGCACTAGCACTAATGTGGCACTATAATGTAAAATACGCTACTACAACTAAAGTCCTGCATTCACAGTATCACATAGTTTCAGCCCTAATTTACAAAATCTTCTCATTCAGTGCAAAAAATGTAATCTATAAAGTAATCACAGCTTTCAGATGAATGTAATTGGGTAAAAGTATTTCCCCTCTCTATAAAGCAGCAATTTTTAAAGACTTAATGATTAGTCAAGTAACTGAAAAATAATATGCAGATTAGTCAATAATGAAAACAAACAGTCTGAAACCAAGAAAATCTGCCTAAAAAGTAACTGAATGATTGGAGAAATGGATTTTATTATAATTATTTACATGTGAAATATGTTTTGTAGTTAATGAGCTTTTTTGCTGTGATTTGTTTGGTGTGATTATGTGCGTAAATGTTCACAACATTGAACTACTGAACAGTTTCCAGTAAGTGGTCTTTACTCTGTATTTCAATTCATTCTAAACTAAAATTAAATAAAAAGAAGTTGAATAATAAAACAAGCAAACGCAACCATGTTGTATTTCAATGACTCCTTGTTAAACTCCACAGACTGTTGGAATGACTTCACAGACAGATTCACACAAGTAGAAGCAACACAATGAACTCTGTACAGCTACTGGAGATAAACGAGCAAAGGCACGCCACAACTTCAGGACACACCTCTTATAGTCATTAAATCTCATCCGCAGACCAAAACCAACACAGATAATCTCCTTTTGTGTGTGTGACAGTCTGATGCATCTGACTCCTCTGAGCCATAGAGCTCCATTGTTTCCAAATACATCACTGAGCCACACTGTTGCGCTGGGTGACAGCCTTCATTACATGAACACACACACTGTGCACAAGTTTATTTTCAGTCACTCCCACACACATCGGCCTGCTACTCAAAATACCCACTACAGCACCAAATGTGGATTAATCCGCCGCTGAAAATAGTCCCCACAAAATGCAGCATTTCCTCCTGTTTACTGAGCCTCTTTTAAACTGAGATTTGATGACAAGAGGAAAAACCACAGAATATCACATTCTTTCTCTTTAATGACCAGTCTCGACCGCTGAAGCTGCAACACATGAACAACACACACCAAAAAAAAAAAAAAAAAGACAGTTTTTCAAGTAATGTGTTCGCAAGAGTTCGACTCTCACTAGTGCAGTGTTATAAATTAAATCTTTTACAAATGTATGATTTATTTTACTGGAATAAAAAGCAAGACTATGCACCTATTGAAAAAAAAGAAATTAGACACTCTTCCACATACAAACGAAAAGTTCATATCACCTGAACTCAAATTCAACTCTTCTTGAAGTGGTTGTTGTTTAACAAAAAGGTACATGGTCTTACTTTAAATACAAAATAAAGGTGAAAATAAACAAGTGTCTGCTCAGTGTTTCATAATAAAAGTCCAAATTTGCATCCTGTACTGAACTTCTATCAGTAATTTGAATATAAATGCTCATTTTCATAATTCATTTTTCTCTTTTTACTCCTGTTTTTGATTATTTCACTTGCAAATTTAGTTTCATTTACGTTGCTGCAAGAACTAGTTGTCACTGTAAGTTTTTTTCTAACACACTTGGTCATGAGTTCAGTTTCTTGCACACTATAAAGTTTTGTTGTTGGCTGTAAAGAAACCACAGAATCTCGAACACACCCCTCGATCACCCGTACCTGCTTCATGGGTGACACTTTGGTCGTGTGCAGTGTGTGAGTTTCAGCTGATGAAGGTCTGAGGACTGAAATGTGAGTGACAAAGTGAGGACGAGTGGTCGATCGGCTGCAGGTTTCTTTACACTCAAAGAGTGACATCGAATTCTAATCAAAAAACACACTTCCACTCAGATCCAGTGAGGACTTCACCTCATCCGTCCTCACTGATCCATCACACCACTTGTTCTTTAGCTGGAGTTAATGCTTTCCAAAAATTTACAGACATCTGGAGGGAATCCACACCTCCAGACTCCAGATGTTTTTCATGTATCATGCTCATGTTTCTGGTTTGTTGAAGAAGCAGATTCTTTACCGGGGGGGGGGGGGTTTCCCCCCTCAGACAAAGGCATCCCATCCTGTTAGAAGTTGGGTTTGTGCTTCTTGACCTCGACCATGAGGTGGTGCAGGTTGATTAGCTCGGAGCGGACCGCCAGGCTGCGGAACGTCGGCTGGTTCAGGATCTTGTGGAAGCCGTGGTAGTACTGGATCAGCTGGGTCAGAGCGCCCTGCAGCAGGAAGAGGAAGTGCTGCTTTATCACATCACACACTTCCTCTGACACATACACTGTGTCAGTCAACTGATAACATTTCTAATGTTCAGTATTTTTCTTTTTAAAAATGGAAAGCCCCTCAAAAACCAACTGGAAAACCTGTGCACAAGGAAACACGACTGTGGTGTTTTCGGGTGCGTTGCTAAAACAGAGTCATGTGTGTCCGTCGTCTCACCTGTATGATGCTGGTTCCATTTTTGAAGTTGGTGAAAGACCTCATGACGTCCTGACTCATTGACTCCACCGACTGTTTCCACGTACTGGAAAACCCCCGGACCAGCTGAGTGATCCGAGCTGGAGGAGGGAGACGCACAGAGAGGCAGTCAAGTTAAATAGTTGGAAATCATTAAATCATGTTACATTATCACTGTGTTGTTGTTGTTACCTGACCACAATATAGTGTTTTTCTTCTTCAGAGCCTGTGTAGTTTCACATGTCACTGACACAGCACAGAGTTAAAAAGAAAAAAAAGCCTGAACATGAATGTTGTGGTAAATGTGAGAAGAAACAGTGAAGAGAAAAAGGATGTGGGAAGCTGAAGTAATGAAGCCGGGGAGAAAAGTGCAGCCTCACACTGACAGAGAAACAAAACTGAGAGGGACGGCTGAGGGATCCTGAATGTAAGCTGCTCATAAATCTGTAAAACAAAACTCAACCGAGAAGTGAAAGAATCCTGCAACTCATCGGTCAGCATGTCTGATGTGAGACTCACTTCAAAAAGGTAGGTTGACATGAAGCCACATCAATCAACATAAACGTCTTATATCAGCTGACCATGAGTCCATTTGCTCGAAATGAAAGGAACCCAAAACAAAACCAAATCATGGAGCTTAAAACCACGAGGTAGATTTCCATTCCCTTTCAGCTGTAACCATGTAAAACCTGAAAGGCTGCTGAATCTCTGCGCTGCCTGACCCCTCAACCGTACGAGCTGAAGTGTCATCCATTAATGGAACAGTGTCTGATCTTCTCCCTCGAATGGAGCGATTGTTCAGTGTATAAATAAAATTTGGGAAAATAGTGAAAAATGCCATCATCATTATTCCCCGAAGCCCAGGTGAAAATATTCTAATTGTAATAAAGGTCCAGTATTTTACACTTGTGCTGTGTTTTTTTTTTGAAGTGTTGATTCATAAGAAGATATATTTGTGATTTTTAAGAACTAAAAACCATCTCAGTGTAGTTCTACATCTCCTCTCTCAGGCTTTTCTCCGGAGCTCGAGTAACAACAGGTTGGTGAGCCAATCAGAAGAGAGGAGGCTCTGAGCCTCTTTTCTGACTGGCTGACTGTTTTCTGAGTGATTGAATAAAAACATTTCAAGAAACCAAATCCTGCGAGGCTGGATGGTGTGTCCGGGTGGGCGGGGCTTGTGGGCATGGCTGAAGTCCTGACATCTGGTTTAAAGGATCAGTTTCTGAATACAGGCTGTTTGCATTTCTCGGTGGACTAAGCGCTTTGATACTTTCACAGTATTAATATAGAACCTAGACCTGCTTTATAATCAAAATAGAATCAAAAAAAGACATGGACATCTACCTTTATACAATATGGGACCTTTAAAACCCAAAAGTCTGAGTTTACTATCACAGAAAATGGAGAGAAAAGCAAATGTTCACACTTAATTGCTGGTAATTTTGCTGAGAATTGTCCTAAACGATGAATTGATTATCAAAATTATTGCCATTTCAGACTTCCGGCTGGTTTCTGGATGCCTGAGGAAATAATCAAACTTCCATGTATGGTGGGGGTCAGTACGGGCCCCAACTGTGTATCTCTGAACCAGTTCCCTTCCTCCAAGTCTCCCTGTGAGGACTCCGGTAATCTTCTTATTCCTGATCTACCGTCTACTGTTCTTTAAAAGCCTGTTATAAAGTCTGTATGGTGACATTTAACACTTCTAATTGTTCCAGAAAATAAAATGTAAAGAAAAGAAACTATCACACCAAAATAAACTTCTCTCACCTTCCTCATTCTTCAGTCGGTCCAGCTGCCCTTTCTCCATCAGTGCCTCGGCCTCCTTCACAAAAGCGATCATCCCTCCAAAGGGGGGAGACAAAATCTCCTCGATAAACTCCTGGAGGGCAGAAGACGAGTATCTCTATCATGTGATTACGCATTTTCTGTGGTATTTTTTATTTTTTTTCCCCAGTTAGCTTCAATTCATAGCATACGATTTAGCTGCAAAAGTGTCAAAATAAAATCCGTGTTCACAGAGAGAACGCAGTGTGATGTTTACCTGTGTCCTGGCGAGGAGCAGCTGTTGGAAACCCTCTACCTCTTTACTGTCGTCTGCTGCCCTCTCCTGGACAAACGGAGGAAAAACAACCATCACACACACAGGAACAGTAAGAGGACTCGAAGATCTCAGGCAGCTCCATGAGACCTGTGATCAAAAATGTCCACACAACAGCAGGAGTCAGGTCATAGTTTACGTTTTCCACGCTCACCATGAGGACGCCGAGCATCATGTCGTAGTTGTTGATGAGGAAGATGAGCTGGTCTCGTCTGGAGGGAAACTCCGCCGCCATCTTCAGCACAAAGTTTTCCACTTCAACCTGCAAAACATACGTCCATGTTTTATATCAAAAGTGTGTGTGTGTGTGTGTGTGTGTGTGTGTGTGTGTGTGTTACCTGCAGCTGTCCCAGCAGAGTGTTGGTCCTCTCGTTGGGAAACGTCTGATTGATGCTGACAATGGCTGACGAGAACTCCGCGTAACGACGAGTGATCTGAAACCAACAATCACACACTCAGGTCATTGACATGATGATGGTGTGTGTGTGTGTGTGTGTGTGTGTGTGTGTGTGTTATATCTCCCTGTATATATAAATGTGAGCGTGTAGACCTACGTAGTGCGGTCTGGTGTCCAGCACTCCCAGTTTCTGAGGGTCTGTGTTTCGGATGCTGTGGATGTTCATCTCCAGAATCAGTTCGAACCTCGGCCACAGCAGCTCCAGCACCGCCTCCCAGTACCTGACGCACGGGTGAGGACACACGGCTTAAACATCTTCAGCACTGTCCTCGTCCATTTACAACCGTCAGCAGAGACTTTAAGACAGGACCAGTGGAAGAACACCTGTCTCCTGCTCTGCCTTACCTGTGCAGGATCTTCAGTGCAGCAGCTAAGTGACTTTTAAAAAGAGTTATCTTTACTGCTGGTTTGTGCTGAGCTGAAGTTCACAAACACACAGATATCACGAGGAAATACCTCATGTCTTCCCTGTAATACACTGTTTTTTTTTAAATGTAATGAGTTGGTCGTTAAGGGGACACTGACTTGTCGAGAGCGGGGATGTTCCTCTTGGCGGTGATGGCTCTGAACCTGAGGATGATGTGGATACACAGGAAGACGGCGATGCTGTCGTAGCAGTCGGACACATACGTGGACATGCTCTTCTGCGGGGACAGACGCACACAACAGGACTCAGTAACACTATATGACACAGTGTTGTTACGCTCCTGTCTGGTACATTTTAATCTCTACTTTATCTTAATACGAGACAAACAAATACCTTCATGGCCCACTAGTGGACCCCACTGAATTATAGTGAAGCATCCTGACAAATCCTGGCTGTTGCCCTATACAGTAAATGCATCATTTCAGTGATTTTAGCTGGATCGCAACATGCCAGCTGCATCCTGATGATATACATTCTCTACTATATTCACCCGCCAATGTAGAATATATATCACCTGAGGAGAACTGATAAAATCTGAGCGCGTGTCTCTGCAGCACTGAGTATCAACAACAGTCTATCGTGGAAAGTTGGCATCGAACGTTTAGTCAGTTTCTTAATCCTGTTAAATTTTTTTCTTTGATCAGATATTTCCCCGATATAAACTTATCTAACTTTAGCCGATATTTTATTTAGAAAAAAATCTTTATTTAACACTGATGCAATCAACATTTTAAAATACTTTATGAAATAGAAAAAAGGGTTAAAACATGTTTACTTGGGCGTCAGAGAAGTATTTTACTGTATTGCCAAGATACTGAATCAATGGCTCGTCATAGTGCTGTATAAATTTAGGTTTGAAGTACAGTCCAAGTTTATTTCTATTTTTACTTTGTCTTTTCAGTGTCCTTCTCTTATTTTGGTGATTTTGGGTTTAATAAAGTTTTTTCGCTCTCTCTCTCGCTCTGTCTTTATCCACCTAATGTAGTCGACTATATCAGACGAGCACGAGTTAAGGACGAGTCGCATCTCTGATGGGCTGAAACTCTGAGAGGAGAAAAGGCGCCTCATTCCTACCAGGAACATGCTGAGAGTTTTTCCCATGATGCTGTTGAAGAGGTCGAGGGCAGAGTTTCCTGCCACCATGAAGAAGTCTGACAGGAAGAGGTATTCTCTGCAGCCGTTGTCCAGCAGAGCGTAGTGTTGACTGCGGAACAGAGTCTCATAGGGATACTGCAGGAGACACAGAGAAATGCAACAGTTAAAATCAAATATATTTTGATATATTTATTTATTATTATATAAATATAATAATGTTGTTCATATTATTTTCTGGTTATTGGTTCACTATCTGAAAATGTTTCAAGTTTCTTCATAATGTGTCACAAACGACCACAAGATGTCAGTGTGGATCCACAGTGTGTTTCCTCAGTACAGTGTCAGAGTGTGAGTGTGTGTGTGAGTGTGAGTGTGAGTGTGAGTGTGAGTGTGTGTGTGTGTGTGTGTGTGTGTGTGTGTGTGTGTGTGTGTGTGTGTGTGTGTGTGTTTATAATTACATCCTGGTTTCAGCCTGGATACACAGCCCTGTTTTATTATTCTGTCATTCCCTGCCTGAGGACATCAGTGTGCTGAACCACTGCTCCAGTTTAAAATCACTGCTCAAAACATACTTGTATAAATCTGCTTTTAATTCTTGACTTCAGTTTGAGCTTTTACCAACTTTCTTCTGTTTTATAGATTTTATAGTTTTTACATGAGTATTTGTAATTTTCAAGTAATTACGCTTGCCTTGCTAATTGCCTTTTATTGTTTCAGTTATTCCTCTGTCTCTCTTTTAAATGTTCCTGATGTTTCCCTAAAGAAATCTGGTGAGGCCACTTCCTGTTTTCAGTGTGAAAACCCCTCAGATCTTACAAACCTATCTTAGTATTTTTATAAGATTAAAGACTCAGATTTTTTATTTTTTTATTTTGCTATTCATTCATTTGTGATCTGTTTTGTTCAGTTAAAACTAACTCTGGTGTGTGAGCCAGGGTGGGTTGGGTTGGTGTGAAAGCTGTCAAGCTGTGTGAAAAGGAGGGTCTTGGCCCTGCTTCCATGTGAACTCTGGTGCCGTTTGTTTGTGATCTGGAAGCGGTCTGACCAAACCACAGGATTTTTCTAGAGTAGAAATGTGATTTTAGTCTGAATTTAAAAGCTGAACTACTAATAAATCCATCTGCTGGCCAGGAAGTGACCCTCTAATCAATATGTGTAAGTGATGTGTATATTTATGGAAATCATTCGGTAACCATAGTGACACACAAACCCTCACACACACAGTCAAAAATCAATTCTACCCATTTAAAAAAAACAAAACAAAAAAACTAAAAGTGTGACAGTCAGGTGTTTGTGACGTCTCACCCTGCTGTCTCCTCTCTGAGCTGTGTGTGGAACCAGGATTGGCCCCTCCAGCTCGGCGGGACTCAGAATGGCCCCCCTCTGGCCCAGAGTGAAGATGGTGTTCCTGCTCTTCAATGACGGCTTGGAGAAGAAACCTGCAGGGGGGGGGCGGGGTCAAGGATCTTCACTCTGAGTTTCAGTCTGCTTTGGCGGGGCGTTGGCGAGTCACAGGACCCGGTGATTGCCTCAGGAGTTATGATGAGCAGATACTTGATTGACTGGGTGTTATGTTCAGTATGTACAAGAGACACGCCTGAACTAGGTAAGCATGTACTGTACATTAAATTGACATAACATAGATTAAACACAAGTACATTCATACACACACGCAGGCTGTCCTTATGTGAGAGGCCTGAGGTGTCTCATTCACTTTAACCCTCAGGGTCTCATTTCCTCTTGGAAAGGAGCCAGGTTTGTTTTAATGCAGATATTCAGGTTCTTGGCCACATCAACACCTGACTGTCTCACACACTGTCAATTATCAGTAGTGATGGCTCTCAGAAGGAAAAATGAGTTTACAATGTGAACCACACAAACCCCTGTTTATCCATTTAGTATGGACATTTGACTGATGTTGTGGCTTCCATATGTGAAAACTTTTGTGCAAATGTACATTAAACTGTGTTTTTTTTATTTATTTATTTATTTTTTTTAAAAAAGGTCCAACGTTGCATCAAGGTAGATTACCATGTGTTGTTTGACTATAAAGCAGGTCTAGGTTCTATATTAATACTGTGAAAGTATCAAAGCCTCAGTCCACAGAGAAATGCACACAGCCTGTATTCAGAAACTGAGCCTTCAAATGAACCGTCAGGACTATAACTTTGTGATGTAACAACAAAGCAGTCGCCGCACTCAGCCACGTCCCAAGCCCCGCCCACCTGGATCCACCATCCAGTCTTGCAGGATTTTGTTTCTCTGAGTGTTTACCTGAAATCTGCTATATCTTTATTGGATCACTCCGAAAACAGTCAAAGAGGCTCAGAGCCTCCTCTCTTCTGATTGGCTCACCGACCTGTTGTTACTAGAGCTCCAGAGAGAAGCCAGAGAGAGGAGATGTAAAACTACACTGAGATGGTTTTTAGTTCTTAAAACCACAAATATATCTGGTTATGGATCAACACAATGTGGACATTAGTCTCTGAAATGCAAATACACATACTTTAAAGGATATCTTTCTTGGCTGTGTCTTCTACCCCCATCAGGTCGTCTTTGTCTGCCACCTCCTCATACTGCAGACAGGACAGACAACTGTTATATCACATGTAAGGTACCCGTTCACCCGGACAGAGTCTGCGGAGCTCAGGCAGGTGCTGTGACAGGAATGAAGCACTCCTCTAGCTGCAGTCCCTCCACAGACACTCTGACATGTTATGTAAATGAAGTTGGATGAAACAGAGATCATGAGCTTGCTTTGCCCTGTGTTGATCCACTGACCTGCACTTTGAGCAGCCTGCCGCTGTACGACTTGAAGTAACTGTAGTAAATTTTGCTCATCGTGTCCACGTATTCGTCCCGGATCTCTTTCGCCACAGTCCTCTCGTTGGCCAAAAGGAACTGGTAGAAAAATCTGCAACGAGACAAAACAAAGGAGAGCGGGTCACTTTTTCAGTCTAACAATAATAATAATAATATAGACTAATATAATGTAATAGCAGACACCGATCAAATGAGATAAGGTCTGTGGAATCTCATTAAATGTTCCATGAAAGAAATGTAGTTGGAAGCAAATTTGGAATAAATTTGTCATTTTGTCACTAATAAAGAAGAAGAGGTGATAAATACATGAAGTTTACAGCCTCAAACATCGGATGTGCTGACCTGTATTTGAGCAGAGTGTTCTGTGGTATCTGGTAGTTGGTCATTGGCTTCCTGAAGGAGTAGATCTTCTGGAGAATGAACTCTCTGATCTTTGATACGGCCTGAGGTGAGCAAAACATGTTGATAGAGGTAAATATCAGCATTGTCCAGGCTGAAAGTCACAAAACCCAAAGTGCTCTGTGATTTTAATGGATGAAGAGGCAAGGAATCAGATTGAGGAAAAAAAACAAACTTTTTTTTTTTCCCCCTCTTTCTATCCGTCTTCCTTTTCTCCTCTTATTTTGTATGATGTCATTTTTATTTTTACGTTGAGGTGAGGCCGTCGATGGGTTTCTTACCTCACCACCATTCTCTCCTTATATACAATGTATTTCTAATGTTTTATCTACAATACTGTGCAAAAGTTATAGGCAGGTGTGAAAAAAATGCTGTAAACTAAGAATGCTTTCAAAAATGTGTTTGTTTATTTTTATCAATTTACAAAATGCAAAGTGAGCGAACAGAAGAAAAATCTAAATCAAATCAATATTTGTTGTGACCACCCTTTGCCTTCAAAACAGCATCAATTCTTCTAGCTACACTTGCACACAGTGTTTGAAGGAACTCTGCTGGTAGGTCGTTCCAAACATCTTGGAGAACTAACACAGATCTTCTGTGGATGTAGGTTTCCTCTAATCCTTCTGTCTCTTCATGTAATCCCAGACAGACTCCATGATGTTGAGGTCAGGGCTCTGTGGAGGCCATACCATCACTTCCAGGACTTCTTGTTCTTCTTTACGCTGAACATAGTTCTTAATGACATTGGCTGTACGTTTGGGGTCGTTGTCCTGCTGCAGAACAAATTTGGTGCCAATCATACACCTCCCTGATGGTATTGCATGATGGATGAGTATCTGCCTGTATTTCCCAGCATTGAGGACACCATTAATCCTGACCAAATCTCCAGCTCCATTTGCAGAGCACAGCCAGATATTTCATATTTTGCCTCCTCAGTCCAGAGCCCCTGCTGCCATTTTTCTGCACGCGAGTTCCTATGTTTTCGTGCATAGTTGAGTCACTTGGCCTTGTTTCCATGTCGGAGGTATGGCTTTTTGGCTGCAACTCTTCCATGAAAACCACGTCTGGCCAGACTTCTCCGGACAGTAGATGGGTGTACCTGTGTCCCACTGGTTTCTGCCAGCTCTGAGCTGATGGCACTGCTGGGCATCTTCCGATTTCGAAGGGAAATAAGCTTGATGCGTTTTTCATCTGCTGCACTAAGTTTCCTTGGCTGACCACTGCGTCTACGATCCTCAACGTTGCCCGTTTTCTTTCTGCTTCTTCAAAAGAGCTTGAACAGCACATCTTGAAACCCCAGTCTGCTTTGAAATCTTTGTTTGGGAGAGACCTTGCTGATGCAGTATAACTACCTTGTGTCTTGTTGCTGTGCTCAGTCTTGTCATGGTGTATGACCTGTGACATGAAACTGTCTTCCACAACCTCACCTTGGTAGCAGAGTTTGGCTGCTCCTCACCCAGTTTTAAGCCTCCTACACAGCTGTTTCTGTTTCAGTTAATGACTGTGTTTCAACCTACATGTGAAACTGATGATCATTAGCACCTGTTTGGTATAATTGGTTGATCATACACCTGACTATAATCCTACAAAATCCCTGACTTTGTGCAAGTGTACCTATAAGAACTGATGCTGGTTTGAAGGCAAAGGGTAGTAACACCAAATATTGATTTGATTTAGATTTTTCTTTTGTTCGCTCACTTTGCATTTTGTTCATAAAAATAAACAATTATTACTTATATTTTTGAAAGCATCTTAGTTTACAGCATTTTTTCACACCTGCCTAAAACTTTTGCACAGTACTGTATGTGAATAAATAAAAAATAAAAAATTGACCTTCATTGATTCTTCTAAATCTTTGCATTATTCTGTATTTCTTTTAATATGTTTTACCTGCAATTCTTTTCAAATTACATAAATACAAAGACTGAAAATGACACCTGCTCCTTCTCTGTGTGTCTCACCTTGAGTTTGAGGCGGTCCACGATGTCCTGGATGTCGGAGCAGGCCAGCGTCTCTCTGAAGCTCAGCTCTTTGGCGAAGTTGATCTTGTTGTTGAGCTCGTGGAGCTGCTCCAGGAACTCCTGCTCCGTCACGGGGCTTTCCATGATGGTGCTGCGGCGACACGGGACCGCGACGTCAGACAAACACCCTTCATTCAGCACGTTTAACCGCAGTAACAGCGGCTTCACTTACGAGATCATGGCTCCGGGCACCACCAGCTCGTCCACCAGCTGGCTGAGGTGGCTGCGTACGGCCTGCCTGTTCTTCAGCCGGACGTTCATGCTGACCGACTGCTGCTGCAGAGTCTGGATCTCACTGCTGATGGAGGACAGGTCGCTCTGGAAGCCGCTCAGCATGCCCTCCATACGCTGAGGACACGAACGGACACCATAAAAAATCTGGTTTGAAAAAGTCCCTAATTGAAGTTCTACCTTATCTTACGTTAAAACACTGCTGCTGTACACATGGGGGGAAGATGACAGAGCTCTGTGATTGAGTTCACAACAACTTAAATAAGAAGGTCTGCATTCATCTTTTTCAAGGAACCAGAGAGTGAAGACCACAAAGCAAAAGACTGATAAAGATGAAGATGAAGGAGGGAGCACAGAAAGAAAGAAACAAAAAGAGATTTGGTGACATAAAGAGAGAAAACAGCAGACACAAAAACATTAAGTTGTTTGCTTTAAATTTTGAGACTGAAAAAGTGTGCAAATGGTTTCTATATAAACAGAGGACCTGCAGGATCACGATTAGGATCAGGATCAGGATCAGGATCCGGACTGAGGTGTCTCCTCTTACCTCCAGTATGGAGTCACAGGCGGTGATCTGGTTGTGCAGGAGAGCGATGTTCTGACTCTCCTTGATGTCTGACAGACGCCGGGTCAGGAAAATAAAAGCCAGCTCCCAAAACAGGAAACGAAACTTGTTTTAAGATAAAAAAAATAAAAGCCTAAATGAGCTCTAACCTTACATTAAGAACAAAGTTGAATTTGTTTATTTAATTACTGTATTTAAAGGCTTCGGTGGGAATGAACCAGTTTGTTTTTGTAAAAGTCATCATGTATACATGCAATTTTTTTATGTGTTGGTCTTTAAAGATCAAAACATGTTATACTTTTTTCCACATGAAAAATAAAGGTTAGAGCATTTCATTCTATTTCTCCTGGATTATTGACAGCTGCATTCAACAACATACTTGTAGATAAAAGGCAAAAATATGTACATATAAAAAATAATAGTATATACTGTCTAAAAGTAATATTGGACTGACTCCAGTTTTCCTTTTAAGATGAGATACATCATTTCCTCTCTTTCACACATGTATATGAACAGACTGACCCACATGTAACAGTTTATAGAGCAAAAAGTGATTCAAGTACTCCACTGTGTTTGCTCTTAAAAAGACCAAACATCATTCTAACTGTTGTGTTGTAACAACGTTCACACTGTGAGCAGGAAGGATACAGTCTTTGATGGAGGCCTGTTCGATCCTCTGCAGCTCTGCCTCCACCTGTTTGGAGTACTGCCTGAGGTCAACGCCCTGAAAACAGACAGGAGGGGGGAGACCATCCTCATCACGTTTACAGCACAGTCACGTGACCGGTTCTGGTTTACAGTTTAGACACAGTAGTTTTGACTTAATCCAAGGCGGTCCCACTGTTTTCTCTTCTTACTACATCACACTAAAATTTAACTTTTCATGTAATGATGTAGGTCAAACCTAGTAAGACATGGTAAAAGTCTGAATTGAACGCCATGAGATTAATATAGAGGCTGCATAAGCACAAGAGAAAACATGCAGAGAGGGAGGGAAATGTGCTTGTTGTGTCTTCTTCTAAAATCACTTATAAATAATGTACTGGCAGATAAACCACGAAACACTGTGAAAGAATCAATTTTAGATAGCTGAGGAGACTCTTCTCAGATCTAACCAGGCTGTAAAAACAATACGTCCCCTCACAGTGCAACTGGGGCAAAAGATGGTAATCACTGCAATGATCTTACCATTTTTTCAAATGTAATTCATTCATTATGACAGGTAATATGTGTTAAAAATGCTTCTCAGACCTCCTGTTAAATTTTGCATTACAAACAGCTCAGTCAAACATTAGTGTCACGATTCTCACCGTTTTGAGCGCCTCCTTCACGAGGTCATCTTCCAGATTGGCCTGAATGTGAACTGCAGGAGACAGAGAGCGCCAGAGTTCATGACAACTCAAACACTCAACAGACATGCTGGAAAACAGGCAGCTGCTTCTCTTGAACACTGAGGAATTTTATTATGAGCTTTAACTTAAAGTTTCCCTTGTGCAGGAGGTTTTGAAGCATCTAGATGCAACTATAAACATGCAAGGAACTGCCACAGGTTGTAATAAAAGTTGAAATTGTGATATTCTTTCAATATCTATGTGGCAACTACAACTTTATCAAGATCCTAGTCTGGACTGATGACCTGTTTTAACCCTAGAAGGCACTGCAGACCTATGGTTTAAATATGGATAGCTCCATTCATTCTGTGATCATCATCCCGATCACAGGATGAGCCATATTAATGATAAACGTTGCCTTACTGTCCACTTCATCCAAGATAAATTCGTCGGTGGTGAGGTCCAGTTCTCCCAGGTTCAGGTTCGCCATGTCTCCATCAGTCTTCTGGCAAAAAGACAGAGTCACACACAAACAACTGTTTCAGAAAACTAATTTGTCAAAGGTGGTGGGTCCATCTTTAACACACATAAGTAAAGGGTTGCAACTAGCAATTATTATTACTATAATATTATAGATATGATTACGTGTTATCATGTTATTAATATACAATGCTTAACTATAACACCATACACTTTATTAGCATTATATGTATGTTATTTATCAGTGTATTCTATTGTCCTATACTTTTGTCTGATAAACAACCCAAATTTATTCAATTTTCATTGATAATAAATATTCACATAAGTGAAGCTGGAACCAGTGAATCTTTGAAACTTTTGCTTAATGGATGACTTTAATCTTAATAAATACATTTTCTATCGATTCACTCACGCTCTAACCCCCCTTATTGATCGAACATAAATGACGTTGTTGCTATAGGATGCATTCAGGAAATCATTGAGCTTTTCGGTGTTTTGACAGGATGCTAACAGCTACATTAGCTTCAAGCAACATCATTAAACCTTGTCAACGAACACAGATTGTGTTTCCTGTCACAAGTTTTTCATTTACCGTAACTACTGCAGATTAATCTGGCTGTTTGTCTAATTAGATGCTGTACAGTTTACTTAGACATTACAGTTCACTGTGATAGAAAATCCTGTTGTAAACGCGACCAGGACACAGAGCTGAATTGTCACATTACACGCTGGACGTTGTCGTTTTTCACGCCAGCAACAGATTTTAAAAAAGCAGCAAACAAATGTCACCTCGTCTTGTAAATAAGCCATTGCTATTTCTGTTGGGTTTCCAGCTGTGTTTACATCGAGCCCAGCTCCGACAGCAACTGCGGTTCCCTCCGCCATTGCGGCGAATTTACGCTAACGTCCAATAAAACTACAAACGCATGGTCCTACCGCGTCATCGTCTCCGAAAACTGACCAAGCGTCCTCGTTTTTGTGGACCGAACACGATATTAATACGAATATATGTTTTGTGAGATACCTAAACACAAACAATATACATCAAAACATGTGATAGTTGTTCTACTATCTTTAGGTTTTACCATAAATATGTGTGTTTGTTTTCGGCAAACTGTCAGCAACTCACTAGTCGGACAGATTGAGCATGATGGACTGATTTCCGTTCGCGTGTAGGGTCAAACTCTCGCGAGATCGTTGCAGCTTCCTCTTCGCACGGAACCTACTTCCAAGATGGTGAGAACGTTTTCTATCAACCTGAAATAGTTTTGAAATCCGCCGGCATCTTGCTTTAATTTCACTTGTTTATTACTTTCAGAGCGACAGTGAATGTTATGAATCTTGTGTTAGTGGATGGTTGTAGAATTGCCGGTATATTTGTGGCAGGATGGACGTATATTTAGACAGTTTCATGTCAGCACTGAAGTGCGGGTCAGGGACTATAGTAGCTAATGTTTCCCTTAAACATCTGTTTTATTTCTGTGGCTTAAGCCCAGATATTCTGTTTAATCCCGGTCAAAAGCAGAGCGGTTACCGGACGGTGCTTTTTGTTTTACGGGTGCTGCTTACAACCTTAAAACGCGTGAGGCGGTTAGCTCCTAAAGCTATCTAGCTTTAGCTTGTCCCACTGGAAAGAATTCAGCATGTTTGGCTCACCAAATGGACGTTACACCGGTGTAAATGCGCGGTAACCGGGTTAATTTAAGTGCATGGACGCTTGAGTTTGCAGTTTGATTAACTCCATGTGTTTTAGTCATGTTGAAGTTTCAGGTGAGCCCAAAACGCCGGTGAAGTCGATCCAACTAGAGCCAAAAGTGTTGGCTGCAGATGCACAGAGATCTGTCCTGCACTTACCTAACTACTGACCTGACTAGCACCCATTTTATAGAATAGTATGCATAAACAGAACAGTTATTTAGGATCTAGACGTGGATTCTTTTGCCACTTCCAGCATTATAGCAACTAGCATTGAGGATTAATGTCTCTGAATCGGGTAAAAGCTTCTTTACTCCGAGGTTTTAAAGAGTTCTAAAGGAAAAGTCGTAAAAGCTGGTCACCAGTCCAAAGCAGTGATCCGAGATCTTGCTGTGAGACACTTCTACTGACAGACGATTTGATGTTTTTTAACGGTTAAACTTGAAATGATGCAAAATACAGCGGCCAATTTTCTAAGTTCCGTTTTTAAATTGACTTTAGGTGGAAAAAACACCCACAACCTTTCCTAGATCAGGAACGAGTAAAACAAAACACACCCGTCCTCTTTTTCGGTGTACAGGAGCATCAGTGCAAGATTTTAGTAGATCTAACCTGCACAGTGTGGCATACAGTAAACTTAAGCATTGTGACTGCCACCAATGATGATGATCCAATAAGCGTATCTCTTAACAGTGAGCAACATCAGTGTTGATTGAAAGTCAGTAGTCCCTGATTACCTGTATTCTGTGTCTTCAGTCTCTGGTCATCCCTGAGAAGTTCCAGCACATTCTTCGTGTTCTCAACACGAACATCGATGGTAGGAGGAAGATCGCCTTCGCCATCACTGCCATTAAGGTGAGCTTATCTCTGACATAAACAGAACTCTTCAGTGATGGTTTCACAAGAGCCACAGCTCTTATCATCTATACTCTAGGTATTTCCTTGACTTGCTGTGTTTAAGTATAGATGTATTTTTGCAGCTTGTTTTGTGAGAGATGACGTGTTTCTCATGTGTTTTCTGAAGTTTAAGATTGCAGATGAGAAAGTGTTGTCATTCTGTTTTTTATGTGGAACAATGACACTAATGTCTCTATGTCTTGTCTCAGGGTGTTGGCAGACGTTACGCCCATGTCGTCCTGAGGAAGGCCGACATCGACCTCAACAAGAGGGCTGGGGAGCTGACTGAGGAGGAGGTGAGGAGAACTGGGAGAGTGCAGAGTGTTAACACAACAACAAAAACCAAGGACAACTGATGTGGGCTTTTACAGATTTCACAGATAGGTGTAAACGTTGTCCAACATGCAGAAATCATCAACTTGTACAAAGGGTTGTGGAGAAAGGGATCCACTTAGATGGCTCTTAGTGGCAGGAAAGTGGTGTTGACTCGCTCGGTTTTAGTACAAGTTGTAAAACAAATTGTTTTTATTCTGGTTCTGAGTCAGTACTTTGAAACTTGTCTGAAGGAGAACTGTATTTGTTTTCTCTACATGAGTTACTTTTCCAACCGGCACCTCGGCATCATTTGGGTTCACCTTCACTGTAAAGATGCAGTTGCTGCTTGAGTTACTTTCAAACAGCTGTATGAAGAGCTGTTAAACTGAGCACAGTAGAAACAAAGGCTGTCAGTGCTCACTATAGAAAACTGCACCACTGTCACAGAGATATTGTGCTTATTTGCCTCATCAAGGTGTTTACATGTTGCTGCTCCCCCCTGTGCTAAAATCCCTAGCTTACAGTGTTTTATATATTGTTTTGAATTTGTAGATTATCATGAGACAATTTCGTGATGGATAAATACACAACTAAGAATTATGAACAAAAAGAAGTTGCATCTTTTTTTACTTTGTTGATGCAAAGCAGCAGCTGTTTCCTGGTTCTGTAGTGACAGAGCATATTCTAGAAAAAATGGTGAAATGAGAGTTTGAAAGAAGAAATGAGTGTAACTACCCTGTACAGTTTGATAAGTGTGTGTGAGTGATGGATAGATATGGCTGTATGTGTATATGCAGATGCTGTTGCAGCAGGTCAGGAGTCTATAGAGGCCACATTATTTCTAACCCCGGTTTGTGCATCTCATATATGGGCACATAAGGCTCTAAGTTCTTGAAACATTGCTAGTTTAATCATCTTATAGAGAACCTAATGATTACTTCTATGACCCAAATATGTGCCAATATATGAGGTGCTCAAACTGCAGCCACTCTCTGTGGGAATTATCTGTTGTGATCAGATTGTACTTTGTTTGTATTGTTGGCACATTTTATTCCCATCTTGAGTTAACGGCTGTATGTGTTCTCCAGGTTGAGCGGGTGGTGACCATCATGCAGAATCCTCGCCAGTACAAAATCCCAGACTGGTTCCTCAACAGGCAGAAGGACGTCAAGGACGGCAAATACAGCCAGGTAGGTGACAATCTGGTTTCCAAGAATGTGTACAGACAAATGTCTGTCAGGGCCGGGGCAAAGAAAAATAAACAACTATTCTTACAGATGTCTGGTAAACTTTATTTTACTCATCTACAACAAAACATAGTTGGTCTGAGGTAAACAACATCCTCCTGTTTCATAAAGAATCATAACTTTAAACATATTTGAGATTCAAAATTCATTCCTGACATTAGGAACAACAAAAACTTTAAGTCCATTTAGTAGCTGTTCTGGAGCTTTCTCTCGCATCAGGCCAGTTTGATTCAGAGTAAATGCAACAGGCAGAATTTCCATTCAGGTTGTATGTAAATCCTGCTTCGCTACACTATCACAGTCTCAGTTAGTACTGCACTGATAATCAGCTGATGTATTGGTATCAGTGCATATTTTGGTGGATAAGTAACAAGAAATGTCAGAACAGAAAAGCCAAACTAGGTTTGTAGTGTTTTACAAAAAAATGTCACCGTGACAGTTTTTCATTAACAGCTGGTTGTACAGCTACACTTAAATACCTTCTTTTTTTTATTGTTGTTGTTTTCTGTCTGGTATGGAACAACACTGGGCTGACTGTGGTCGTGTCTTGTTTCAGGTCCTCGCCAACGGTCTGGACAACAAACTGAGAGAAGATCTGGAGAGGCTGAAGAAGATCAGGGCTCACCGTGGTCTCAGGCACTTCTGGGGGTAAGAGATCTGACTGAGTCTGCACCTTTTTTTTAGGTTTTTTTTTTTTTTGTACAAATCCACTTTGTCAAAATGGTTTGTGGTGTTCAGAACGACAGGTTGCCAAAACTAAGAGGATCCAACTGAAATCCCAAGTGTGCAGCTTCTGCACGGGTCTGAGTGCTTGCATGTCTGGAAATATGAGGCTTTAGTAAAGCTGCTCTGTCTTGATGCCTTTTGAAAGTAGAAGGACAAAGTCACACATAATGTAAAACTGATCTCTGGTGTTTCTTGGTCGGGGTTATGTGTTGTTCAAGCACGTGGCTTATTTTAACTCTGTCCCCTCTTCCTTCCCTTTGCAGTCTGCGTGTGCGCGGTCAGCACACCAAGACCACCGGCCGTCGTGGTCGCACTGTCGGTGTGTCCAAGAAGAAGTAAACTCCCCTGCTTCCCTTTGTTTCAATAAAACCACAGTTCACAAAATGTCTGTCCCAGTGTGCTGTGTCACTCAGAGTTCAGATGTTCACTGGTGCAGGGTTCAGGCTGAAAATGTTACATCTTGGTTTCTTGGGCGTTTTATTTTCATACAGTTCTGTTTAAGGGTTGTCTAGTTTACTGTCAATTACATACGGTTAGGGGCTAACAGGAGATTCGGGTGGTCAATCGAAGCAGCACAGGTGGAGATGGCCTCAGCTTTAAGAAACAGACAACAGATGTCAGTAACTGAGTCAAGATCTAATCAAGAATTAAGAGTTTTTGTTTCTTTCATTACTTTTATTGACTCAATCAGTTTGATACTATCGAGGATCAAAAAACACCTTGTCATTCCATATATAAGGACTAAATGAGTAAATCTTGTCAGTGAACCAATCAGCATGCAGCATGCCTGGACCAAGATCTAATATTGCGGGTGATTGGCTGTTTATTTACACTAGCAGGTTTGAGTGTATAAAGAGATCAAGCTTAAAAGTTGAACTAAAATTTGTAATGTGTATTGTAGTTTTCTTTGTTAAAATGGATAAATTGGTATTTTTAAGAAACCATATCAAAGTAAACTTGTAGGAAACTAGTGGATACTGACATGTGTATGAACTATTTTCTTACTTATCTACCACATCATTGAACTTTTTCATAAAAACTGACTTTTATTTGGTTCCAAATTGTGTTGGCCTTTCTTGTAAATATCCTTGTGATTAAAAGCAAAATATAGCTTTCTTTTAAATTTAAATTAGAAGGAAGGTTTCTGGGAAATCAGCTGGAAAAAACAGACATTCCCAGAGAAGTTTCCCATTTAGCGAAGTTGTTCAAAACCAACAGATTCACTGAGAGCCCCTATTTAAAACACTAGCCAAACACCGATTCTCATTACTTCAGTTTATTGTGTTGCATTGCTGACAGAAGGATACAAGTGTACATTAATGCAACAGAGCAAAAAGAAAATATTGCATTATTCTTAATATACAAATATTCCATAAAAACTGAGGTAAGGTAGGAAATGATATGGCTGCAGGAAATATAAAGTGCGCAAGGACAGAAGAAGTGGAGCAAAGAGGTTTATGGCTTTTTAACAGTTTTTAAAGAGTTTCATGCAAACACTTTGTATTTTACAGGAAAAAGAAGGTAGTGAACCTCTTGGAAACGAGGTAAGGTGGGCGTTACAGCTACATCTTTTAAGGTGGAAAATGAGGGAATTTTATATCTTAGTAAAATATAGGGGAAAAGTTTTAAGAACCTGACACATCTTTGTATCTCATAATGACATTATGGAAATGTGTAAGTAAAGCAGCCAGGGAGCTGCATGTATAGAAAAACTAAACTACCTGTCTGTCATCCCCAACTTAAATCAACTCAAATGCTGCTGCAATGCATGCTGGGATTCAGCCCTGGACAGGATGAGCAGCTCAAAAAGAAAAAATGGATGCATTTGCGGAAATGTTAAATGGCGAAGCGCCAGTTTGTGTCTTTTAAGCTTATGTCCCGTTAAAGCCGGTTACAGCTGATACCAAAGTTAGTTTAGTTGCGTTTAAAGCGGGATGAAAGGTAAAGCAATACTATAAAAAGGTCCAACTAAGCACATACACATAAAGCAGAATTACTTTTAAAATTGATTGTTAGGCTGATCCTGTCACTCGGGGAAAAAAAAAAAAACGGACACAAAGCAGCAAAGAGCTTCAGTCATTTTCTTAAAAGTTAAATTACACAAAGATTTCATAAATAGCTTCAGTCAGACATTAATTTCAGATCAATTCATAACTTATAAAAATTTTTCCCCTCGTTAAAATCTTAACACAAAAACACTCTAATTTCTCTGATCTTGCTGCAAAAAACTGACTCTGAAATCTTAAACTGGACTTTTTTGAAGATTGATTAAATCAGTGAAAGATTTAGGACAAAATACCTGCTCAGATTCAAGTCTGTCTTTCTTTTACATAACCGTCCAAAAGATATTTTTTGGAGCCTAATTCTGAAATGTTTCAAGTCATAATCTGGATGCTATTTTCTTCAGTTTGCCAATTTTCATATTTCATTTTTTTTCAGTTATGTAACAGTTGTGTTAGGAGAAATAAATAAAACGTGTTTAAAGATAAGAAGAGAAAATAATCCCATCTGGAGTCAGAACTGAAAGTTTTCATGTTGGTGGTCTAAAAAATAACAAAAAGAACTCATGGGTGCAGGTTGTAGCTGCAGGAGACTCTGCACAGCTATGTCTGTTTAGATCTGTGCTTTTCTTATGTGATAAGATTCAAATGATGGAAAACAGAAGTTAATAAGTCAGATGCTTCATATCAGGAGAAAACAAAGTGGTCCCGCTCATCTCCAGGTCCATCAGCCACAGTGACGGGTTATAAACTGTCAGAAAATAATCTGCTGATTTACCAGCTGTTAATTAGTGGTTTGGTTTTTTTCTTCTTGGTGAATCCTCCTTTAAAAAAAAAAAAAAAAATCAGGTCTCAGGTCAGATTCAGTTTACAGGTGAAATACGCTGATATCAATGTGGCGGCTGAGCTTCCATCTTCAAAAAGAAGACGTGTGGGTAAATGAAAGGAGAGAGAAAAGCAGCACACTCCTCTCCCTCACCCCTCCCTCTGTGGAGCAGGAGGAGGAGACTTCTGTTGGGGTGGCTGCTGTGGTTGTGGCTGCTGTTGGTCCTTGGTTGGGGCGTAGTAAAGCTCCAGAGGCTTCCTGACCTTCCAGTATTTCTCATTGACCAACTCCAGAGTCAGAGAGCCGTTCAGCGTCTGAGAGGAAGAGTGAGAGAGGAGGGTTTAACGAAGGAGAGCAGAGGGAAACATTCAAACTGAACTGCTGTTATCAGCTTAAATAGGCTGCAGACTAACAAAGACATTTAAATCCCTTATGAAACCTGACTGCAGCGGTGTCCCAATTCGGAGGATGTATTTGACTGTCCCATTTCGAAGGCTCCTTCAAATGTGGCCTTCTTTTCCTGGGCAATGAAGACTCCAACAGGTGGATCCTTCATGGCCCAACCTGTCCCAAGATTTTTTGCAAGCCAGTAATGAAAATAATATGGCAGCAAACAACACTGACACAGAGCCTGAGGATTACACTTACAAATGTAAGTATTGGATTCAGCTCAGTTCAACAGCACAGGTTCAACTCAAGTTTTCAAGTTCAAGTTTTTGTGAAAAAAAAAAAGTTACGTGTTGTCAGGGTTGCCATGCGACAGGTGTGGTGCTTTGCGATGCAACACTAAGGGTGGGCACAGCTGGTGAAAAATCCAGTCCATCTCATTGCGGTTCGACCTTTGCGGTCTAAGCTTTACAAAGGGGCCACACCTTTGTAGGATGCGGCCCCTGAATTGGGACACAGATTGTGTGCTCTAAGGGTTCTCCAGAGGAACGGTCACATTGCTTTTGAAAAGACACAATGTCAGTGGCAGAACAAACAATGTATTGATGAGTTTTCTATTTTAAAAGGTTTTCAAACTGAACGCAACGTGCAGTAAACAGACCATCAACACAGCCGGACTGTACCGATTCAGCTTGTCTGCATCGTCTGTTGCCCAGACTCCCATTTCTCAAAACTCCCTATTCTTTTCTGTGATTTCTCTTTTTCCTTGTTGCAACTAAAGTTCTTCCTCATGCTGAGAGAAAAAGTCATGGAGTCATTAAAATCAAAAGGTTTCATCCTCTGAGGACTCAACAAGGTATTCCATTCAGTTAATAGGGATTTGGATGAAAAACAAGCTTTTTTTTCTTTTCTTTTCTTTCTTTTTTTTTTTTAAATAGTGAGGATTTTCTATCTTTGTCATATGTGACTGCAAACGGAAAATCTTTGGGTTTCAGACTGTTCCTTTCACCTTTAAAAAGGCTTCAGCTTGTGATTGGCTGCCTGTTTTGAAGGAGTCATTCACATGTTCCTGTCTCTGTCCACACAGCTGCTCGTGATCTGACGTAAATGTGTTTGATCACTCACGGAGAACTGTCCTCCTCTGGTCATGATGTAGATGGTGTACTGTTTCTCGCTGATGTTGGTCAGACTCGACCCCTCTCCGCCTCCAGCAGCTCCTCCTGTTTCTCCTCCTTCCTCCGCTCCTCCTTCCTCTCCGCCACCTCCCTCCTCTCTCTCTCTGTCTCTGTCCTCTGCCTCGCCGTTGGTCCGTCTGTCCTCCAGAGCGATTCGCAGAGCGAGGTATTTGGACAGATGGTCCACTGTGGCATTGGCGGTCGTCTTCACGTATCTGCAAAGAAAGGAAACGTGAGCAGGAATAAGGGCAGATGAAGGAACATTTCCTCAGTCATACATTCTTCTGACTTTATGAATAGTTCCCTGAACAAGTTTACTGTCGACCTTTTTCTAAATTTGCTTTAAATACAAGTTAAAAGCTGAAATTTCCAACCAGTGTAGGGTTTTATACTTACTGCCCTGAAGCTGTAAGAACTGTTGAACTCATAATTATGGCAACAACATAAAAAATTAAATATAAAACTACACAAAATGAATATCTTAAAAATTCAAATTAAAGCCTCAATTTTAGACAAGATATATCTAAAATGTAATTTTATTTTAAAGATTAATTTAGTAGTAAATATACTAAAGACTAAAATACAACCTGACATTTATTATATAAATGTAATTTAGTAATTTACTATAAAAATGTAATTTATAATTTATTTATATATATAATTCATATTTATTTAATTTATTTACTACTCTCAGCCAAAACTCATCAAGGTTTGAGTCAGCTCTTAAGAAACTGGGCTTTCTCATTTTTTATTAAACAAACCAATGAAACATGTATGATTATTCCTAATTTAGATCAATTTTTTCTTTTCTAAATTAAAAAGAAAAGAAAATTGACCCAGTCAAATTAACATAAATCCTAAATCCTAACTGAGGCAGGCAAATTTCTTTTGTAGGGTGGCAGTAAAAACCTGTGGTCCAGCCTCACCTGGTCTGGTTGTAGTCCTGGGCGTGGACCAGCTGTGGGTGTGGTCTGAACACCAGCTCGATCTCCGAGGCCGGTCCTTCTTTGTGGCGTCTCAGTGGAGGCGTCGGGCTCCCGCTGTCCGCCTCGGGCCCCGAGCCGTCATCTGAGACTCGCGGTCTCTTGCGGCTCGGCCCGGCCTCCGAGGGGGTCTGACCACACGGGTGGGGGGTATGTGAGGGGGCGGAGTCGTGGGACAGGTGTGATCGGGCGTCACCGTTATCCTCTCCGCCACTGAAGGTGGTGTTGTCACTTTCCTGAGTCGGTTTCTTCACACGGTGGTTCCTGCAGGACAGAGGTAAACACATGTCACCCACAGTCCGACTTTAAAGGATGATTCTGGTTCAGCTGGTGTTTCTGACACAAGATGAACCTAAAAACTACATTTCATCAAAAAAATGACACAGTCTGACGTACCAGCCATTCAATTACACTTTACCCTTCAAACACTTTCAGGTGAGCAAAGGACGGGGACGAGTGATATGGAAAAAAAATTCAATCAAGGTACGTGTGAATTTATATTCTAATGTCAACAACAATGGAAACAGAATCAACTGAATACCTGACAAATGAAGGTATTTCTGAACATGGACACAAAAAGTCTGTAAATCAGATATTGCCCACATTAGTCTCCAGTCACAGATATTACAGGGAGAGATACATCAGTTTATAGAGTGTAAGAAAAATCTTTGGGAGGTGATTTGTTCAGTCCGATTGATGATGATTTAAGAGAGTTCATTTTCCATAAACTGTGTCAACAAATCCCTGAAACATTGTGCTGTTCAGATGATCACAAACTGGAATGGCTGTTTGATTATGATGTTTAAATTTGCCAACTTTATCTCAAAAGTCTGGAAAAGGGGTTAGGGTTGTAGACGGTGATGGTCTGAAGATTTGATTGTGAAAGTTGCTTCTATTTTTGGACTTTCTCTGTTGTTTGGGAATGTCTGTGCGACCTGTAACCGACCCCCAGTTGTCTCCCCGTTTTGTCCCCCACCTCTCGGACCTGTAGCGGGCTTGCTGGCGGAGCCCCTCCTCAATGCTGGAGCTCAGCGCCTCCTTGTTGTGCAGCCTGTTCAGCCGGTCCAGGACTCGGCGCTGGTGGGCCTCGTACTCGTCGCGGCTCGGGTAAATCTTCGAGATCAGCGCGTCAAAGTTTGAGTCTCGGCGCAGCGAACGTCTGGAAACCAGCTTCTTCCTGCAGGTCGGACATTCTTTGTTCCTGAGGAGGGAGGAAGGTTTGAGATACGGTGACGTGTTCATTCTGAGCTCACATCTTTCTCAGTCCGAAGTATCTGCACAGTGCTTTTTTAATTCTTTGCAGTTAAAATAAAGCCAATAAACAAGTTTTAGTCATAGTTGTAGTATTTTCACCACTTTGTTCTCTTGTGTCACTTTACTGAAGTCAAAACAGCAAATACTAGAAATACCAGAGGGGTAGACAGAGTGATGGTATTAAAGCAGTGTTTTCACCACATGGAGGTCGTTATATATCACCTGTAAAAACCAAGTAACATAAACAAACTGACAGAAATGTTCATCTCGTAGAAGATACTGATTAGTTTCTTCTACTGGTATCTTTTTCATACTAGACCTGAAACAATTCAAGTCAATTAAACAATGAGTCAATCGACAGAAAATTCTGTTTGCAACCATTTTGATGATCTGATAATTGTTTGTCGTTGTCATTTCTCAAGCAAAAACAACACATTTTCTCAGGTTCCAGCTTCTCAGATGTGAGAATTGACTCCACTTCTAATAATATGTGAAAAAAAAAAAAAAAAAAAAAAAAAAAAAACAAAAAAAAAAAAAAAAAAAAAAAAAAAAAATCACACAATTGGTCACAATTATTATAAACTAACTGATTAATCGACAAAGTAAATTAGCAGATTAATCGATAATATGTTTTACGCTTATCAAAAAAGTGTATGGATTAAGGTGGATTAAGATTCATCAATTAGTCGATTGAAAGAAACTTATTTGATAACAATAGTTATCAATATATAGTCAATAGTTAATCATTTAGTCACCAAGCAGTTCCGAACACAAGTCAAGTTAAATGAATTAGCAAATAACAGCTGTGTGTGTTGCTGCTGTTTGTAGACTTGTTTTTACAGCAGTTACAGCACTATGACCTGAACAGTATGATACAGCACAAACATACTGGTTGGACAAAATAAGCAATTTAAAGACATCACCATGGATTCTGGTAATTTGAATTGTACATTTTGTTGACATGAAAACTGATTAATCCAAACAAACAAACGATGATCGGTTGCTGTGGTGCCGCTCTTACCCTGACCGCAGGGCGGTGACGATGCAGTCGGAGCAGAAGCGGTGCAAACACTCTTTGGTGGTCATGGTGTTCTTCAACATGTCCAGACAGATGGGACACATCAGCTCGCTGTGCAGAGAGCGAGGAGACACCGCCACCTCCGTCCCGTCCATGATCGCCTCCTAGAAGCACACACAAAAAAAACTCACATTAATACCATCATACCTGTGAGGAGAGCAGCTGCCAACAGTCACATGTATGTGTAAAATGTGACGACAAATTGAGCAATACACAGTAGCATAACATCATCTCCCAAGGTCACGCACACAGACACAGACACACAGACACACACACACACAAAGGTTTACCTGAGGGCTCCTGTGCAGCTCATACAAACTCAGCTCCCAGGTCTTACTTGGAGTCTGGATGTTTACTGGAGCTGCCATAGCTGCTGTTTCCCACAATCCTCACTGCAGGGAGAGAGAAAACAAACAAACATATAAACAGGTAAGTACATCTGTACCTGTACACCAAACCAAACATGGATCTGATTCAACATTCAGAAATATGTTCACTGAAACTTAACACTTAATTGAGGTCTGGAATTGTTTTCTGTCTCTTTCTAGTCAGTTGATTGGTTGAACAGTGACTTCATACAGAGGCTCTAGACCAGGGACTTCCCTGACCTGACAGCCAACTAAACACAATGTTAAATTCTTCAAATTTTACAGTTGTCCAGTGTTTTATTTGAAGTTTCGATCCATAAAAAAGATATGTGTGGTTTAAAGAACCAAAAACCATCTCCTTGTACTTTACATCTCCTATCTCAGGCCTCGCTCTGGAGCTGTAGTAGCAAGAGGTCGGTGAGCCAATCAGCAGGGAGGCTCTCCATGACTGTTTCATCATTAGATCACAAAGTTACAGAAGTCCCAACGGCTCGTTTTGAGGCTCAGTTTCCGAATACAGGGTGTGTGCATTTCGCTGTGGACTGAGTACTTTCACATTTTCACAGTATTAATACATAATCTAGACCCGCTTTATTATTTTAAAAAAAAAGACATGGAAATCTCACTTTATACATTATGGGACCTTTAAATAACTGACGTGTTTTGCCACACATGTAAAGAACAATTTATGAGAAACCAATAGCTACCCTGAAATAAAGTTTAGAGTAAAGCTATTCACACATCACAGTAAGAGTATAAGTTGGTTGGGTGATATTATAGAGGTACTGTGATAGGAGAATCACTCTTTATTGTGATGAAAACACACTCCCTTGTTGAGTCTCACACTGACCCGCCGACGTTACAACTTCCTACCAGGACTAAACAGAGATTCTTCACCACGATTTAAACCATAAAATAAGTTTTTAAAGTTTTACTCATCTGATGATTTGACAAATAAATAGACAATTCATCATATTCCTCGGTGAAAACTCGAGAGCAGTGAGAAGGAAAAGCAGAAATTTTAAGTATAAACTCACCTGACGCTGAACTGATGGACAGCTGACCGGAGGAAACACGACCCCCTCCCGCTACACAAACACACACACACAACCGCCTATAAACTCCTCAATAAATCTCTCCAACAACACACACCGCGGCTTATTTTTTGCCTGAGTCTTCACACTGTCGGTGGAGTGGTGATTTAGTTCAGGCTGAGCCTCGCTCGATGAATAAAAAGACAGAAATAAAATCAAGAGCGCAACATTTTCCAAAACCCACCAGCTAGCTAACGTTAGCTGTGGCCATCTTTCTTCTTCTTCTCCCCGGAACAAGTCGTCTACTGCCCGGCTGCTGCTCGGCGTCCTCAGCGCCTCTCAGTGGTCAGATGGAGTATTGCAACATACATTACCATTCCACACAATATCCTACTATTTTATCCCTATTATTTATACAGTATAAATATATTCGATTGTTGTTACTCCTATGTTAAAAAAAAACTAACTTTAAAAAAATATCTAATTCTTTTTGCAGAATAACAAACCACTAAATAAACTATAGGTTGTAGAATATGGCAAATGAAGGATTGATCTATAGCTCTGATTGGTAATTCCGTCTCTGATCAGAGTGTGGGGCTCAGGAGGTAGAGCGGGTCGTTCACTAATCAGAAGGTCAATCAGACAATTTATATACAGGTCAGGTTTAAACATTAAACATCCTCATCGAGCAATCTTGTTTAAACCTCAGCTGTATATAAATTGTCTGATCTATCATTATTTCTCATGCTGATGATGGCTAATAGCTGAAACACGTTGTTTGATTTCCCCTTATTAAATAATAAGGTTGGAATAAACTAGAGTCCCAAGAGACTGAGCTAAAAACTATAACCAGACTGTAACTCTAATATACACTGAATATACGTGCCCAGCCCCCTCATACACTGTGCATACCTTTGATTTTCAGCACCTTATACAACTTTTTCTTTTCAAATGAACTTTTACAGAAATTAGTGAAATAAGTGCCTGATAATGGGGGAGGGCAGTGGATGCTATTCAATTCTTTGGGGACCATTATTATCAATTTATCATAATCTGGCCTGGAGTTCTTTTCAGATCTTTTTGTGCTGGACATACATCTTCAAAGCTTACGGTTAGCATGCGAAATTAAAAGCTAACCACATTATTAAAATGAACATTTCCTTCACTGACTGTACAAGCAATTACACCAGACATACATGTAAGCAGATTAATTATATATTATACAAGAGGACAAGGTAGAACTCATGTTGCAGCTCTTGACAGGCAAACCCTGCCTCAAGCAAAGGAGAACAAGGCAGCATGCCATCCACATTCTTTAAGGAAAAGGCTCACATATACATGCTAACCTGCAGTTGAAACCATTTGTATTAGAGCATGACTGTACCGAATTAATAAGCCACATGTGTGAAAATGAATGCTACCTTGAGACTCTAAACAAACCACTGCTCCCAGAGATAAAATGGAAAGAATATACATATTTACTATACAATATATACTATAATATATATAGATATAATAAATGGTCGGGGGAATTTAGGTCACTTAAGTTCCCCTGTGATCATGGAAGTCTCTTTTTAAGGCACAGACATGTCCTAGTAAAGAAGTTTTGTTTTTTTTTTAATTATTGAGTCCACTCACTAAAGCAATGCTTTAGAAGAACGTTCATCTTTAGCCACCTCTCCTTTATTACAGGGAAACATCAGACATCAAAATAAGGTTGAAGAATTAGAATTTCTTAGTTTTATATTTATTCATAAGCTCTGGAATCGTTGTTGTCATTAAGTTTTCTGAGCAGTTTGATCTCGTTCATGGCTTCAAATCCTACATGAGCTGGAGCTGGAAGGGTGTGACTTCACAATATTTTTCAATTGATGTGTTGTCTCTAATTTATAACATACACCTCATAGGCAACACGTGTGTATATGTTTTTAATCTTACGTAAAGTGACATGACAGTGTTTTATTATACATATTGGATACCACTCTCATGTTTATCCACTAAGATTATGAATCTACAGCCAGCAGTTGGTTAGCTTATCTTAGCTTTTAGCTTTGCATATTTTAGCGAAAAGACTGGAGACAGTGGGGAAACAGCTAGCCTGGTTCTGTCTGAAAATCCACCATCCAGCACATCTAAAGCTAACTGGTTAACATGTTGTGTTGATTGCGTGATGACCCCTGGAGTCCTCTTTACAACACCCACACTCACATTCTTCACTCATGCACACCACTCACTTCTGACTTTACTGATTTCCACACCCCATGCTGTGAAGATATAATTTGTCGTCTTAATTTGTTTTTTACAAAAATATTCTTTATCAATCGTAACCATGTCTCCCTTTTGCCACATAAGCCGGGTCATAACAATTATCAACAAAAACTTCAAATTAATTTTGAATTTTCTTATTACCTAACAGGAATGTTTTCAGTATATTAACTTTTGAGACGTGCTCCCATAGAAGCTTAATAACTCTGCTGTCGTAGGAACACTCATCTTCTCATCACGGTGAATGTCTTTGGTTTATTATCAAAGAGGAATGATATTTGGAATGTACTAATTGGGTGGCATTTCCTTCTAAAGTTCAACCTGTGGCTGTGGGCACCACACCTCACACTGCACCACCCTGACAGTGCACATGCTCATAGGAATGTGTTGGAGTCAGCCATGACAGCCTCAGGGCTCTGCTGCAGCTCTTATCTTAAACTGTAATTTATCCACAGTGAGAGATATGAAAGATGTGATGGAACCGGGCTTCTGGGAAATGGGCATTTTCAATATTTTTTTATAGAACAAATAATTAATCAATTGATTAAGAAAATTATCTTCAGCTTAATCAACAAGGAAAAAATTGTTAGTTCCAGTTTTAGTCAGTGCATATTACACAATGACAATCTGGTGGGTCAACTATTTCTCCACGGTGAAAGGGAACCAGTAATGCAGTGTATTTTAATATTGTTCAATTACCCCACCAGGTAAAACTCCTGAATTCCTGAGTGCAAACAAAGAGGGTGTCCATTACAAAAAGTAATGTTAAAGGCAAAACACTACAACTACACCATCACACCAAATGAAATAATAAACTGTGTACTGATGTCAAAACAACTTATCCTCCATTGTCTCACTGCTCACTGAGCAACAGTGTTTGTTAAAATTAGATAATATATAAAATGACAACATAGGAAATGAAAGGGCACCATCGACTAGCTAACATTAGTCACCTAAACTGTAACTTAAAGCTAAAGTTAGAAACCAGCTAACACTAGTTAGAAGCCCTACATAGACATTTAATACATGTTTTATGGCATACGGTGATAAACCTCTGGTTTTGAAGTGCTGAATGAAACAAAATGAGGCCAAATACAGTTATACTTCATTTATTGATTCACAATTTACAATCACAAACATTGACAATTCAATACTACTATTAGTTGCAATAAACTATAAAATAGGCTATTTACGCTTCATTCAATATCAAGAATGTATCTTAATCTTAATCTTTTTCACACACACACATACACACACACACACACACACACACACACACACACACACACACACACACACAAACAGGATGAGTACAACAACTTGACCTGTTGTCAATCTGTTGGCCATGTGATGTACAGTCTAACTCACACATGCACACAATAAATAGGACAATAAATATAATAATTTATACTATTTTGAAAGGTTAAATATCAGCCACATTTGCCACTTTTACCGATTAGTGAAAGCAATAATATACATTTTTATCACCGTACCCACTGGTTGACCCTTCCTCTCCTTCCTTAACATTTCAGTTCTTTGATCCACCTTCTCTGAGAAAAAATTTCCTAATTTGGACACACGATAACTGGGAGAAGTAAAATAATAAAATAATAAAATTAATAAATACATCTTGATATTCTTCAGTTAACTTATGAGTCCGTCTATCATGACAGTTAGCTGTATTTTGTTGCTCTTTACACAAGCACGGCAACCAAAACAGCCACTGTAGCAGAAATCAGGCTGAATCTGTTACTGACTGCATCTGCTGTTGCTGTGTCGTTTCCTGCTCCGGATCCTGCTCCGGATCCTGCTCCGGATCCTGCTCCGGATCCTGCTCCGGATTCTGTTCCTGATCCTGCTCCTGATCCAGCTCCGGATTCAGTTCCGGATCCAGCTCCGTCTCCGGTTCCAGCTCCGGTTCCATCTCCGGTTCCAGCTCCAGCTCCATTTCCATTTCCATTTCCATCTCCGGCTCCAGCTCCTGTTTCAGTTCCTGTTCCAGCTCCTGATGGTGATGATGTTGATGCTGTTGTTTTTTGTGTTGTTGTTGCAGTGTTGTTGGAGGAAGATCTTTCCACTGCTGCTTCTGCTACTGTTGCTGCAGCTGAAGCAGTTGTTGCTGCCACATTAGCTATTGATAACAATAATTCTGCTTGGTCTGTTGCGTTTTGTGCTGTTGTGGCTGATACTGCATCTATTGCTGCTTCCATTAATGTTGTTGCTGTTGTTGCTGTTGCTTGTGCCAACTCTGCTGCGGCATTTGCCTCTGCTATTGATGCACGCTTTGCTGCTGTTAACTCTGTGCTTTCTGATAATATTTTCTGTAACTCTTCTGCTGCTTGTGCTGAGTCTGTGGCCACAGCTCTGGCAGCTTCTGCAGCTGCTGACATTGTTTCTGCTGTTGCATTTGCAGCTGCTGTCATTGTTGCTGATGCTGCTGCTTTCTCTGCTGCTTTTGCTGCTTTTGATGCTGTTGCGGCTATTTGTGATATTTGTAGTGCCTCTGATAGTGGTGATGTTAATGCTGCTTGCATTGCTGCTTGTGCTGCTGCTTGTGCTGCTTCAGCTGCTTTTGTTGCAGCAATTGTTGCACTCTCTACTGTTGCTTCCCCGTTTGCAACTAATGTGGCAACTGCTGCTGCTTGTTTTGCATATTTTGCTGCATTTTGTGCTGCTGCGGATGCTGTTGGCCCAGCAGCTGCAGCTGCTGCTGAGGCAGCTGCTGAGGCAGCTGCTGCTGCTGCTGTTGACCCTACAACTGCTGCTCTAGTTGCTCCTGATGCTAATACCGCTGCTGTTGCTACTGTTGATGCAGATGTGTTTTCCGTTGCCTCTGCACCACTGTTTGAGGCTGGATTTACAGTACTTTGTCTTGTTGGTACAGTTGCAGTTGTGGTTGATCCTTGAGATGCCGTTGACAGTGCAGCCTCTGCTGCTGTTTTTGCAGATTTGGCTGCAGCATTTATCATTAATGTAATTATTTCTGTGTTGTTTCCT